AAAAAAACAAGCAGGTATTGATCATTAAATAGTTTTTTTCTTTAAAATTTCATGTAATCGTATTCACAAGGATATATCTAGTCTATTCAAGTGGGCGGAAGGCAAAGAAATAAAAGAAACCCTATAAGATGTCATTTTTGAGAAAGGCTAAAATATTTATTATATTAAACAAAAATAAACATGTACTTTTATATATATGTATATATATATATATATATATATATATATATATATATATATATATATATATATATAATGTGGCTCAAGACGTGGAACCATTCAAATAAAATAATTTTAATACTACCAAAATACACACTAACTCAAATATTTTACGTTGTAATTTTTTTTTAATAATCGACATTTATCCGCCATTTTTCCACTCAGCCAGTTCTTTAGTATTTGTCGATTGTTTTTTTTATTTTGTTTATCTAACACCCAATTGAATATACTATAACAATTACAAATACTTAAAGAAACATATTATCTACAACTATAGCATTTTGTTTATAAGAACACTAGCCATTTTGCATCAGGCAGATTATAGAATATAAAATTTTATTTAACAAAGTAAATTCTGATTTTTCCTTGAAATATTATAAATATAACCGCTTAACTAAAAAAACTGATGACGTCACATTCATGTTTTTTGTATTTAATTTCATAGGTACACGTTTTTGGTTTAATATATTAGAAATGCTATATTTTTAAAACGACTCTAATAAAATATTCGTTAACTTTGCTACTTTTATGGTAAATATGCTTCACAAATATAAATAAAAAAAATGAATCTTCTTTTCTAGAATATTTTACAAGATTAATCTTATTAAATATTCTAGATCTTATAAAATATGAATGAATTCTACTTTATATTGAGGTAAAATTATAAACTATTATAATATGGAAAAATTAAAATTTCTCTTTCTTCTTCTTTTAATTTTTGTTCATTATCAGTTTTATTAGTTAAGCGATATTAAGATTTTAAATATATACTTTACTTAACTTTAATGATATGATAAAAGCGCAAAGTTCTCTACGTACTTTCAAGGTTATTTTCTATTTAAAATAATCTATTTGGCTGTGAAATACTGATATAAATAAAAAAAATAACTAAAAAATGGATGGATATGGAATATCCTTATTATGTTCGATTTATTACAATTGTAAGGTTATTTCTTTCAAAGTTTAATTGAACAGTAGATTTTACTAATATAAATCTAGATTATTATTTTGTTTGGATTTCGTCAAAGATTCTGAGAAAAATTTAAGCCTGCAAGGAAGACATTGTGAACTATATACATTATAAATATTGTGTGCATTTTGAATCAGTAATAGTATTCTGTAGTTTTAGCTCGACTCCTGAATTACACAACATAATCGTACTTTTAGTATGTTGTTTGAAATATGTTAATATGTTCAAAATTACTTTAAAGGAACGTAAATAATACACATTCATAGTTTTTTCTTAAGGAAAATGAAAAAATAAATAATGAAATTATATTCGTTGTTAAGCGTATCATTTCGAAGGGTTGGGGCAATTTGGTTAGAATAGGGGAAAAATTGGAAAATTTGTTCGGAAAATTGGGAAATTCAGTAAAAAATATATTTGGGAAACTTTTTTCTATTGCATTTTTGTACTAAGTCAAAGATTACAATCAAATTTAGTGATATTTGTACTAGATAACGGTAGGATCAGCTTTTTTCACGATAAAACACTCAAACCGAACACCTTATTTTTCATCTTAGGTCAAATATTCGAGGTATACGAGTATTTATTATCGACATAAATTTTTACCCTTCAATTATTTATAAGAGTCGTAAAAAATCAACTAGTTGAGGTATATATAAAAAATATATTGTAGTATATAGTGATTCATTTTTAGTATTTTAGAATTATTATAAAATGCCACAAACTGTACTACAATGTTGTTCCTCGCAGGTCTAGTACGTAATTAAGGCAGATGATTGACGTGAGATGAAATTATTTTTCATACAAATAAAATTTAAACCCTATTTTAAAGCAAGCCTCCTTATTTTAAATCAGTCATAATACAGCCTCTATGTAACAAAGGTAAAATTAGGCGAGATATCTAAATATCATACAATTTGAATGTTGAATGACTGAACATATTCATTGATTACGTTCAATTTGAATTTTTTTTTGACTTTAAAAATCTTTGGTATGTCAGTAAACGATATTTTCCTTTATAAGATAACATAATGTATTTTAATAAAACTTTTTAAATTTTGGCGTTCCATAATTATACTATAATTACACTACGGGACAGACCGAAGTCTCCCCGCGCCGCGGCCGGCGCGACCGGCCGAAACGTCAGGGATAAGGTATATATAAGCCGAGCGAATTAACATAACACCTCGCTAGAACTCGACGCTACCCCATAAACTGTCGTCGCTAAAATAATAAAAAAATTAATATTGGGCAAATGATAGACTCTAGGAAATCCATGAAAGAGAATTTATTATTTCTCTTGGAGGAAAAATAAGTTATTTTTGTTTTATTTCCATATAAATCGAATGACAACTACAAGTTAGTACCTACAACCGATACATCTATGCAATTTAATAATATACATGCATAATTAAAAAAAAAATTCGTACGAGAAAGTGAAATGGACACAAAATATTTTTTGCATACTGTACATTGCACAAACGTCATTCGAGCCAGGTGTCACGTAGATCCGCCCGAGGTATAGCCACTAACGAATTCGCGCGTGTAAGTCCTGTAGTGTAATTATGGTGTGTATTTTAATGTCACGTGATGTGGCTATGATCGTAGTATTCCAATCAATAGGTGAATCCATCTACATATAATAAAGCAATTTCTGCGATATTGCCATCCGATAAAGGGACAGATTCGAAGTCTAAAGGCAAGTTTCAGGGGTAGAGAGCAGCTGGCGCTACTATCGGGAAAACCCGTTTTATTCAATATCTCCAGAACCGCTCGTCGTACGTAAAAAAACTATAAGTTTCTTTCCTCTTTTAAATTAGATTTCCTATCGTTTTTATTTAAAACTTTTTTCTAAAAGTAATATTTCTGGAGATATGGCGCTCGAAACGCACTAACTTCGCTAACTTTGTTTTTTTTTTGCGGTTATTCGCAAAATTACTTTATTTTATGTAGATTTCACCGTTTTCTTTAATATTGACTGGACTATAGCAATAATTCCAAAATTCTGTCTGTGGACTTGCCATTTTTAAAGAAATGTAAAACTTTTACTTTTAGTAAAAATAGCCAAAACGACATTCGACGAAATATTTTTACTTATATCATGATTTTCTTCGATTAAAAGCCCAAATAATTAATAAAACAAAAACATTTTTTTCGCGACATCAAACGATGGTGGCGCCATCTGAACTATATTTTGCGCGAAACCCCCCATTAAACAAAAAAAAATGTTTTTTACAGTGTACTGATTGATAATTTAATAGAAAATTTATCAAAATTACATGTTATTTGATAGGTTAAAAAGATATCAGTAGAATAGAAGGTGCATATTATATTATAAATTAGAATACAATAATTGGAAGAAAATGGAGATTCATAAGATTTAGTCTTATAATATTCGCTGTTTTAGTCAAATTTTAGGCCTTATATATTTTAAAATTCGTGTTTTAAAACGATAATATAGAAAAGCCTTAAATCATATATTCAAACAAATTATTCGATTCAATTAGACAAGTTTCTAACTTAATTATATAAGTTATATATAAACTACAGTTAAAACTAATTCAAACTAAACGAGTATATTAATAATACTATAAAATCAAGTTGGTATCAAATATTACATACAAAATTCAAGTACTGTAAAAGAAATATACAAACGAAAATAGCCTCTAATAATAGGTTTTAAAGTCGAAATTTAAAATAATTCATATATTAACTCAAAATATAAGTATATAAAACAATACAGTACACGTTTGTTCAAAGATAATTTTAAAAATAATAAGCATTATCTCATATTCAGCGGCACCAAATAACAAATTTATATTGATCTTTATAAAATTAACTAAAATATTAATTGTTTACTGTATCTTGCTATAATTACTATATCCTAAGCTCATATACTTATACAGGGTGGAATAAATTATCAAGAGGTGGCAGAAAAGTAGCTAAATATTAAAGATATGAAGTTTCACAAGAAAGTTTCCTTTATTTTTGTAAGATCTCCACGTTTAACATCCCTAAATAACAAATATATTATGCCTCCCGTAATCTAAATTACCCGAATAAATTAACCAAACATGGCTGATTTAACGGGATCTGGAATTATTGTATACACCAAACTGAGGAGGAACAGTGTTCCAAATCTAATAAACCGATTCCAAATAGAATAAGCGAGAGTGATCGATAGACAATTCCTCACAACAAAGAACTATTAAAGAATAACTTCAAACAAGGGAGCAGCTAAGTGTCTAAAAATGGATTGTTGGGTTGAGCAGGATACATGATTATTTTTGTATGATACAACATTTGTTTGAGAAATGTTATTCTTGGGATATTATATCAATTTCTTCAATAAAATTGTGATATTGTACTTTTTTACATTTTCAATTGTTTCAATTACTGGCTCAGGTATGGTTCTTTAAAAATATTTAAATGTAGCTAATAATTAATATTTAAAAAATAAATAATGCCTTTGATTGAAACTTAATATCTTCAATATTTAAGATACTTTTCTTTCATGTCCCGTTCATTTTTTCCACCCTGTATACTTGATAACGATCAAAATATAATCAAAATTAATTTTCTTGCATAACGAATAGCCTTTCGATGAAGCTTTCACTACATGGCAGAAACCAAAAAATTTCAACTAAAAGGTTTCAACAAAAGACATGCTCAGTCCGCCCGCACTTGTCCAGCGCGGCGGACTGTGGCTCGACCCCCTCGTATTGAAGGGGGCCCGCGCCAGCTGCGGGATGTTAAAAAAAGGGCTGAATACCGTACAGGGTGAATTTATTGTTGGCATACTGCGCGTGTCTCAGGCGGAGTGGTGTATGGAGGCGAGGAAGGCGGGGTCGACGGCCGCCACCTTGGCCGTGAGGAAGGCGTGCATGCAGAACAGCAGGCTCTGCAGGATCTGGCACTCCAGCTCCTGTTACATACATACATTTTTTGACAACTCAGTTTGTACTGCCCTACTTGCTGTGCCAGCGGTCGCATGTTCGAGTCCCGCTGGGGGCATTCATTTGTGTGATGAGCACGAATGATTGTACTTCAGTGTTGGGGGTTACATTTATAATATGTATGTATTTAAAGTTATATATGTATGTATATCAACTATCTGGTATCCACAACACAAGCTCAATGTCCCAAAAAAATTATTTATTTATTTATACATACATATGACACATTAGTGGCGCTAATGTATATATAAGGAACTATAAAGGTATAAAGCTAAGCTATAAAGGTAAGCCGATGGGAATCAGTTCCCTTTTTTGAAACCATGGTCATGGTCTCTCCCGTGACCATGATTGCTGTAAAGCATTCGAAACGTCGGGAACTAAAAATCAAAATAAATCTGCGAAAAAATTCGAAAAGATAGTGTTGTTTAAAACATTACTTATATTTAAACTACATAATAACGTAATGCTCTTTTCAATAGCGTATTGCGAAATTAAAATTTACTAAGTGTGTAAAAAATTTCTTACAAAATGCGGTTATTTAATGAGCTGGAATTATATATATGGTAGTAGTCTCATGATGTTCAGTAAAAAAAATTGTAATAATTTAATGCTGAATAAAATATATTCAATTTAAATATAGAAGCACGTTTTTGACCAAGTGTATTGTATGGGGTTCGTCGAAAGAGATCAATGCGGTCCAAACTTAAAGGTTTTAAATAGCGACTAAAAAGTTCCAATATCCACCTCCAATTCCAACATTCCATCAATTCAATGGTGCCAAATTATTGTATTACTGTCCGGATTTCATATATTTTAATATTAATATAATTAGAAATTAGAGAACTAAGAAATAAGTTAAAATCGAACAAAATAAAAGAGCTAAAATAAATTACCTTAGTTTCAATAACTTTAGTCTCACTGTCTTGGAAATGTAATTTCAATTTTGACTTCCCATCGTCGCTCGAACCTCTTAATTGTGAAAACCTGGAATTTAAAATAAAATTTATTATGGAAATAAAACTATTATCAGACATAACATATGACTAAAGTTGTCAAATTTGGATAATCATTTGATCTACTATGTACTAGACAGAATATTATATTATATATTTATTTTGAATATTATAACATTTCTTTTTATATTATGTATTTCTCCTATTTTTTTTTTATTTCATTCTTATAATACCTTTGGATTTGATAGCATTCCGTCAAAATTTTGGATTTTTATATTGTGCCTAGTAATATTATTATTATTATAAACGTGAAAGTTCGTCAAAACAAAAAAAAAACAAAAAAATACTAAAATCGCAAATAAAAAACGGGGGGTAGGGGGGTAAAAAATACTTTACGACCTATTCCCATACTTACCAAATATACAAAAAAAAATCATTAAAATCGGTCGGGCCGTTTTACGAGTGAGAGGGCGAGTGCGATTACAAACACCGTGATACGAGGTATTTATATATAAGATACAGTAACATTTCAATGTGCCACGCCGGCACACTAGTGTACGTATATAACGAAGCCGTCCGACCTGTAGGCCCACACGGGCGGCGCGCCCGGCGTGCCCTCGCTGAGCGAGAAGCCGGCGGCCCAGTCCAGCGTGAGGCCGGCGGCGCGCCCCGCGTGCACCACCGTGAACGTCTTCTTCTGCGGGCGGGATGGTTTTATATATTGAGTGTTTTAATAGAAAATTATATATTTGATTAATTTGTTATGATTTATGTATGAGACATTCACTTATGTGACCTTGGCCGATAGGAATATGTTATAAAAAAATTAAAAAGGGCGCGGATATACATTTGTTTTCCCGCGCTATTGCAGAGAGATGTCGGTACCACCATGGAGTGACTAGGCACGAATTGATTGTAATACTGAAAATTATGATTATAATATATAAATTTTGTAACTCACTGAACATTATAAAAGTACTGAATATAAGAATATAAGCAAGGAATATCTCGAAGTTTTATTAGGGGCGTAAGGGAACCTATACTACATACATATATATTTACATGTCGCATACGGGAAACGAATACGAGCCGTCGACGACACACAAACGTCATACTGGCGTGTACAGAGCCTAGGCGGGTGGGGAAAAAAATTATAAAAAGTAGTGATCGAATTAAAATTGAGTAGTTCATTTTGGTTATTCATTTGATAAAAGTCAGTGATAAGCTTAGAAACTGTGTTATGTATAGTGTGGGTTATATTGTGAGTAATTTCTAAATAAAGTGATTTGTGATTGTGAAAGAAAATAGGAGTGTCATTTGTGAATTTGTGTTATAGTGTTGAATCATAAATGAATAAAGTTAATTACTGTGAGTTGAAGTTTAAATAAATTCCCTTGTACACTACAATGAGTGAAACGGAAAATAATGAAGATTCGAGATACATATAACAATAGCATTCTCAAGGAGGGTTGATGTCAGGCGGCTGTCATAAAACTTTTGCTAAATCCTATTAGCAGTACGGAAGATGTATTTCATCAATATATGTAAATAAATCTTAAAAATAAAGCTTCGTTTTTGAAATAGAAGAAAAAAGCTCTACAGTAAAGTACAACAAGTATTGGTGGTTTAAATAAATAAGCATCATGGCGACAGTGTCGGTTGTATCGGCGCGCATCAGCGCGGCATGCGTGTGTCGGTGGGTGTCGGTGGGTGTCGGTGGGTGTCGGTGGGTGTCGGCGGGTGTCGGCGTGTCGGTGTCGGCGGGCGTCGGCGTCGCGCACGCACCCCGAGGCGCACGACGGAGTTGACGACGCTGGCGGTCCAGGCGGCCTCGAGGCGCAGCAGCGCGTGGCGCGTGTCGGCGCTGAAGTAGCGCGGCGGCGCGGCGGCGGCGCCCAGCGCGGCCGAGCTCTGCACCAGGAAGCAGTGCTGGCGCCAGTCCACCGTCTCGCTCTCCTTCACCGTGCGGAACATGGTCTGGTACACCTTCAGCGTCTCCGGGCACTTGGCCAGCTCCGCGCTGTTCGTCTGCGAACACATCATATACGAATACGTTTAAAATTGAATATGACGAAATTACATCAATAGAATTTATTATAATTTTTTTTTCTTCTTTTAAAGAGTGTTATTATTAAGGAAATTTCTCAAAAATATTATTTTTTCCTATTAAGTATATAATTACCATCGTACATATTTATAAATTATACAGCTTAAACTAACTCTTTTAAATAATCCCTCTTTTGTATTTGTGAAAACTCTATGAATATCGACACAGTAGTTGTTAGCTTATATACATATGTACTCGTAAATTGTAAGCCACTGTACGAAAATTACAATGTTGTTTAATCATTTGTAAGTGTAGGCTTCGATCAACAATATTACCAGATAGCATATCACATACAAAATCAAAGCTAAATTCTGTCAGCGCGAATATGTACTCATACATTTGTTTGTATACTAACGAACCAAGACAAAGTCTTATAATAGTTTTATGTTCAACCTAATGAACACCATGGCATCTTGTAATAAAGTCACAAATATTCACATTATCATCATTCACTTCCGATCATTTCCTAAGTTTTACAATCTCTATTGTAAAATTAACCTTATATCAAAACCTCAAAGCACTTTTTCCCGTTGTTGCTTTGTGAGTTAAATCGTTATGTTTTGTTTTTGTTCGTTTCTTTGTATTGGCCAATCTGGGCCAACGTTCTTAGCGAATTTAAAATTGTTCAAATATTATTTTTATATTATTTCTTAATCTACATATATTTACCGAAAATAAGACATCAGTCTGAAAAATTTCTTCTTCGTGCATTATTTTTGTAACTTTTAAAAACATACAGCGGCATTGTGAACGTGTTTCAATAGAACTAAGTGAAATATACGCTCAATTTTCAAATGAGCTTATATTTACCGAGACGGATTTCTTACATCGACACGATACCTAGTAGTATCGTTGATCGAAGAGTGTAGGTGTATGTGAGTCGAAAGCTTAATAATGAACTGTATGCGACTGTACGAGAATGGTAAAGTTTTAATAATAGCTATAGCATTACTTCGAATATTGGTGGATACCAACGATCACACGCTTCTGGCGATGTTTCATTCGCTATATTTCAATTTTCAAATGAATGCAGTTATTTTATACAGTCCACTCTCAGAGTGATAAGCATGATTGTTTAACGTGTAGTCAGTCGTGGGCGTGCTCACGGGCGGCACGTCGAAGAGCATGACGTCGGTGCCCTTGAGCACGAGGAAGCGCGGGCGGTACACGTGCGCCGCCGCCGCCGCCTCGCCCTCCGCCACCCACCCCATGTACTCGATGCGCTCGCCGCCCGCCAGGTGCCGGTTCAGCAGCTTCATCTGTCATGTCACGTACACACTTAAATAACAATATTTATTTCATATAATATATGTAAAATTCATATAAAAATATATCTGAGAGTTTCCGATTAAAGTATATCTGTATATATTTTGATTTTAAACAATTTGATAAAATGTAGGGAAACGAAAAAATAATGATTGAGAAAATAATCATAGAGAAATAAGTACCTATAGGTGAACCTATACATATAATAAAATTTTCACTGAGTCGTTCCTGTACATTGGATATTATTTGGAAAATCTTATTAAAATAATCATTATTGTCGATACAGAGACCGAATCTATAGTTTTTAAGAATTTTATCTGTCTGTCTGGGAACGCACCACGAGAAAAGCATTGGACGGGTTTTGATGAAATTTGGTATCATAATAGCTGGTTATCCGTATCGACATATAGGATACTTTTTACTGTGGGAAAATATTTCAAATCTGATAAACCTATACTTAACGTTAAAACGTAAGTAGAGACGAACCCGAGCGGAGCGAGGGTGGGTCGCTAGTATAGAAATATAATGAAACCAAAAAAATATATATAAGCCGTTTGAAAAAAGATACATATAACACAACATGAGAATCGTAAAAGATTACTATTTAACTATCGAACAATTCAAACAAGATGTAATATAAGGAAATGTCAGTGACCTGCAGGTTGGTGAGGCCGGCGATGTTGTCGGCGATGCCCTTGAGCCAGTGCGAGAGCGCGGCGGGCTCGTCCACGTGGATGACGCCCGACGTGACGTGCGGCCGCGCGCCGCGCACCTGCGGCACCCGCCACGCGTACTGTACTGTGTCTGTCTGTGTGTGTCTGTGTGTGTGTGTTTGTTTGTCTTCCCGACCGATTTCAACCTCGGTGGCCAGTCTCACTAATACTGGCCAGATGCGCAGGAGATATTATAGTGCAGCGCGTATAATATCTTATTTGGCTCGGCTTTTCAGGAAAGTAATATTATGTGGTGTAGTGGTCTAGTAGCTAATAGTAGGGGAGCCCAAGAGGGGATTTTCTGTAGTTACTCGAGCGCGGCAGATTAACATATAAGAGGTTACCTTGCACTCTATTGAGTACTTTCACCATAATATAAGTCTTCTATATAAAGAGGCGCGTCTAGGGAAGCCGATTAAAATATTTAAAAAATGTTGCTTCCCTAGACGCGCCCCTTTATATAGAAGACTTATATTGTGGTGAAAGTACTCAATAGAGTGCAAGCTTGGGCTCCCCTACTATAATAGGCCGTAAACCTAGAGATCGTAGGTTCGAGTCCCTGGTCCAATCGAGTTAAATTATTGAGTTTTTATATTAAGATATTCTTTGTACTAGACCAGAGTTGGGAAGTTGATGGTGTTTCATCACCTCGTAACAAAGGTTTGTATATCGATACGTCTATGTTTTAACAACTTAAGTTTTATATACAAAATTTCATTTAAAACTAGTCAATATTTCTCGATTTACTAAATATGTAAACAACTATATTTTAGAGATTCGCTCAACCTTTTTCTCTTTGTATAAAAATTGCGCGTTTTTTTCTTCAGAAAAGACACCTATAGTCCTATATAGATAAACTTAAAAAGCAAAACCTAAATACAAAATTTTAACCAAACGGTTACAGCAGTACCCAGATATACGAAATAAATTTATATATATTATACAACCACCGAGGCAGTTATATCATTATACAGATATTGCTCATTTAATAATATAAGATTTAGTTTCCACTTACTTCAAAAGCGCCGGGCCTCAGCTTGTCCGTCCCGAACACGTAGCGCGTGACGTACGCCATCATTAAAGGTACTGCAAAGAGAAAAAACCGGTCAAGTGCGAGTTGGTCACACACGAAGGGGTTCGTACCATCGTACAAGATATAACACTATGTATATTGTTAATAGGATTGAACACGCTGACCATTATCGGCATAATCGACTTTTTTTTTGATTTGCATGTCGGCCATTTTGAAACGCCATTTTGGTTTTCTATTATTTGTTATAGCGGTAATAGAAACATACACTGTAAAAATGTCAACTCTACCTATTACGGTTCATGTGATACAGCCCGCTGACAAACAGAAGGACGGACAACGGAAGCTAAGTAATAGGGTCCTGTTGGCACCCTTCCAGTACGGAGCTCTAACAAATATGAATTCAATACAATTTCTATGCATTTTAATTAGAAATTGTTAGCGCTGAAGTAAAAATTAAAATAATGATAATATAGGTACATATTTAAAACATACAAAATACTGAGTGGAGAAAAAGGTTAAGTAGCCATAGGTTTTTATATTTCATTGGACATACGTTTTTATACTTAGTTTTTGGATTTTTTCATTTTCATGGGGTGGAAAGATTTAATTGTCAATTATTTTTATTATTTAATTTAAAAAAAATATTTTTATAAAGACTTTTTATGATCTTCCGAACGTAACTCGCGACGAGGACAGTTCGGTAGCGTATATCCGTGTACGTATCATACCAGACACGACGTCGAGCCACTCGCGCGCGGCGGGCAGGCGGTCGGAGGCCGCGGAGGGCGGGCGCGAGCCGGCGCCCGCCGCGCTGCCCGGCCGGCTCTCCTCCTCGCCCCACGCACTCTACAACCGTATACAAGAATCGGTCAGTGTCGCGACACGTTTGACTTAGTGACCCTACTTACTGTGCCAGCGGTAGCGGGTTCGAATCCCTCTGAGGACATTCATTTGTGTGATGAGCACGAACTGTTTGCACTCTCGTCATGGGTGTTTATATTTATAATATGTATGTGTATTTAAAATTATATGTGTAGTGTATCAACTATCTGGTATCCATAACACAGGCCTCGTATCTTACCGTGGAACTAGATGGTGCTGTGTTAATGTCTAAAAAAACCTCATACACATTGTCACGAGTACCGGGGTAGCATAGACACCGAGCAACGTACTGCGTACATATTAAAGCTCATCGAAGAAAAGCTTGCACAGAGTGTAAACGAATTTCTCACAACATACACTCCTCAACACGTATGATCGCCTGATACTTTTATCACAAGTTCTGAGACACCATGAACCTCAAGGAATCCTTATTATATGTAGGACCACGTAAAAATTGCATACGACCTCCTTAACACTTATGCTCGCCTGGTTCTTGTGTGGACTTCACATGATGATGGGATTCTCTTAGTAAATAATAAAGCATAACCTTTTTCGTTCCATAACCTTTTTTCATTACGTGACGATATCTACCTTTAATCTTCTACCGGAAACCGCGTTAAGGAACTTCGTTACAAAAAACAAAAGCACGTACAGTTTTCGTCGTCATTATCTCAACCAAAGCCTACAGCTGGACATAGGGATATGGGAATGTATGATTTAAAGAGTTCTATTGACATTAATAAATAACTCTGTAACGTCGAACCGTTACCTGCCATCCGCCATTGGTTTCAGTAGAGCGCTCGTTGCAGTTCGCATCCACTTTGTTATGCAGCGAGGGGTGCTCGTCGCCCGTACTGCTGTCGGTGTCGGACGCGCCGTCCGCTGGAAGAACATTGTTTATTTCTATTATGTTCTAATCAAACTGTATAACATGTATGTACAATGTACTTATACATATAGTAATATATAATGTCCTTCTGACCGATTTCGGCCACGACGGCCAATCTTATAGAGACTGGCCAGCCATCGAACTGAACTTGACTTAACCCGGCACTCGAACCCCAAAATCTCCGAATCTGCAACCATACATGCTAGCTACTAGACCACCGAGGTAGTCACATCTAACATAGGTAGCATATCAAAGTTAACATTTCATATGTCAAGAACACATTGTGAAAAATCAATTTCATAAAAAAAATGAAGGTATAAATGTCTAATGCTAAAGAAACTTTTTTTATCTATATATTTTTTATATATATAATAAAATTGTAACTAAGCCGAATCTGTACATTAAATATTTTTTGGAAAATCTTATTGAAATAAACATTATTATCGATACAAAGGCCCAATCTATAGTTTTTAGAACTTTTGTCTGTCTGTCTATCTGTTACAGCATCACAGAAAAAATACTGGAGGGATTTTGATGATAGCTGGTGATCCAAGTCAACATATAGGATACTTTTTACCGCGGGAAAATGTCTCATTTCTGAGAAAAAATACAAAAACTACAATGTAAGAGTATACTAATATGTAAAACCTAAGAGTTTGGTTTTTGGTCATCTGAACGAGGGCGAAGCCGCGGGCAATGCTAGTATAGGATATTAGCGAAGTAACCTGTACCCAAATGGCACGCCTGAAAGCCACAAGACGAAGAAAAATAATTAAATAAGGCTAACATGTACCTTGTTTCTGTAAGAATGGTGTGGCGGCGCGATAATGTTTCACCGTCAACACGACTATATCCCCTGCATTCCGAAGTATGTTAACAGCGTCGTCGTGCTTGCACGCTGTTATATACTCTCCGTTGACTGAAAAATTAAAGTTTTCTTATATATAAAACAAGTACCTGGCGGAATTTTCGGAAAAGATATAAAAATTGCGTTGTTTTTTTTTTCAAAAAAAGACACTTACATAGAAAAAGCGAGTATAAAAGGAAAAACCTTATCTAAATCTGTGTAGTGTCGAGGTAGAAGGGGATGAGTCAATAAATACAACTTTTCATCAGAGGTGAACAATTTAAACGCTTCTTCATTTCAAAACATAAATGTATTTTATCATAAAAACTTAAAAAAAAATAAAACCGACTTCCAGGCACTTAAATGTAAAAAATAACTAAACGGGGGTTTTCATTTAGAATAAATACCTAATCAGATATTTTCGAAGTCGGTGCCAGCGGACAATATTTTCAGATATGAATATCTAATAGGTATATATTTACATATAAATATATTAGATTTCCTATGCGTGGGCTGGCACCGATTTCGAAAATATCTGATTAGGTATCTATACTAAATGAAAACCCCCGTTTAGTTGTTTTTAACATTTTAGTGCCTGGAAGTCGGTTTTATTTTATTTTTTAAAGTTTTTATTTTTATATTTTTAATGTAGACGTAATAAGCAGGTAATTTGTAAGACGAAAGTTTTTAATAACATATTCGAGTAAACAATTTGTTTAAAAAATATATTTATTGTTGTTTTTTTTTTAAACCGCTTGACCGATTTCAATAAAATTTATATGGGGCCACCTGGGAAGTATACCCTTTCAAACAAAACAAAAAATTTCCAAATCGGTTCAGTCGTCTTCGAGTAATCGGTGAACATACATAAAAAAAAGATTCCGACGAATTGAGAACCTCCTCGTCTTTTGAAATCGGTTAAAAAGAAAAGAAAAGTTTGTTTATAACAAGTTTATCATTTTTTTCATTTAAAAATGGTGCCTTTTTATGGTAACTATAAATCATATTTTTAATCATTATTTATAAAATAAATGATTATATCAATAACTCATTTTTCAATTTTTATGACTCATCCCCTTTTACCTTGACACACACACAGAAATATTGGATCCAAATCGTTGGAGCCATTTCCGAGATATACGAAATTTTATAAATATACAAGAATTTTCTTTATCGTATTAGCAAGTAGTAATCCACTACAGACAGTGCGCATGAAAATTTCAATAGCAGGAGAAATGCATTTTGAAACCGCTAAGTACGTGGTCAAGCGAGTGTAAATTAGTATATAAAAAAGAAATAACGCGTTTAAGTTTCTTGAATAGCTTACTTTTTGAGTAAGCTATTCAATATCTTCGTCGACGATTATCCTACTAATATTATAAATGCAAAAGTTTTTGAGGATGTATGGATGTTTGAATGTTTGTTACTCTTTCACGCAAAAACTACTGAATGAATTTTAATGAAACTTTACAATAATATAGCTATACATCAGAATAACAAATATGTAGGCTACTTTTAATCCCGCAAAAATGTACGGTTCCCGTGGGATAGATCTGTTTTTGTTTTTCTAGAGGCGAACCAAGGCGAAGTGACGGTGAGCCGCTAGTAAAGAACATTTTCTCTTATAATAAATGAGCCCATGATACATTAAAGTTAGTCTTAATTTAACTTTAAACTTTTTCTTTTTGTTTTTCTAGAGGCGTCTATACCGTCCTAGCATTATCATTCTTAGTTTTATGATTCTATCTTATTTTCATGCGTATTGACGCCCAGTCATATAGAGATGGTCATCGTATACATAATAAAATTCTAACGAAACCAAATCTGTACATTAAATATTTTTTTGAAAAATCTTATTGAAATAGAAATTATTATCGATACAGATGCCGAATGTATAGGTTTTTGAATTCTTGTCAATCTGTCTGTGACGGCATCACGAAAAAACCACTGGACAGATTTTGATGAAATTTGGTACGATAGCTGGTTATCCGGGTCAACATATAGGATACTATTTACTGCCATTTGATTTATGACATTTGTCATTTATGACATCTCTGAGCTAAACGTCAAAGTTCTTGATTTAGGGACGAACCCGAGCGAAACGAGGGTGATTCTTTAGTTTCCCTACTAATTCTTTTTATACACTCGAATAACAAAAATTATGTCTATGAGTAAATAAAGCATACTTAGCACTAAAACAAAAATTATACGTTTCATTTACTTGACGAGATTCGAAAAACCTTTCCAACATTCATTTTCCATAGTATTTTGATAATAACAATCCTTTCACCATAATATGACGATGTTTAAAAGCTTTTAAGCACACTGTAATTTTTATGTGAATATAATTTAACAGATATTTGGGTCAAAATGGAAGCCTCGCATTAATAAATAACTAGTTTCGGCACACAACCTCGGTTTTCTATAGTCTAAAACTACCTGAACAATATGAACATGAACTTCGTTTGTATGAAGAGAAGCTCAATCTATAACTTTGGTTCTTGTAAATGAAATTTAGTTAGAAATTATAAGTATGTTTTAAATGAAACTATCCTTTCAGATTGTGTCGCGGAATTATTTTGATATTTGGTTCCCGACGATTCGAATGCTTTAAAACAATCATGGTCACGGAAGACTAAAGTTTTCCGTTATAGACATCTCCATAGTTACGAGTACGTAGTGAAAAAGAAATAGACATGGCACCGTAGTAAAAACATTTTAATAATTTAATAAATTGTATAATTGAATATTAAATATTATATTATTTTTTAATTTTCGTTTAGCAACCATTATTATTTTTAATGATCAGACCATCTATACTAATATCATAAAAGGGAAAGATTTTTTTGTTTGTTTGTATCGAATACGCTCCGAAACTACTGAACCGATTTAGATGAAATTTGGTAAGAAGATAGTTTGAGACCCTGGGAAGGACATAAAACACAAAATAAAACCGCGACAAAATCCAGAAAGATAGTTTCATATAAAATATCAAGTATTCGCGTGAATCTAAAAAAAGTATTAAAAGCATGTGTTAATCTAGAAATAAACGTTAATCTAGGACCTAACGTATTTGAGTGAAATTCGAAATGAACATACCATTTCAAACACTCAAATAAGTTCAGCCGTTACAGAGCGAAAGAGTAACACACTAACAAGCATTTATAATTCTATACATATAATAAAATTGTAACTAAGCCGAATCTGTACCTTAAATATTTTTTGGAAAATATAAACATTATTATCGATACAGAGACCGAATATATAGTTTTTAGAATTTTTGTCTGTCTGTCTGTCTTTCTGTCTGTCTGTCTATCTGTTACCGCATCACGAGAAAACCACTGGAGGGATTTTGATGAAATTTGGTATTGTGATAGCTGGTTATCCGGGTCAACATATAGGATACTTTTTGCCGCGGGAAAATATCTCATTTCTGAGAAAAAATACAAAAACTGCAATGTAAAAGTATACTTATATGTGTAACCTAAGAATTTGGTTTTTGGTCACCTGAAAGCGGGCGGAGCCGCGGGCAATGCTAGTATAATAATATTAATGTAATTCACTACATACATATGTATCTACCAACTCTGTTAAATCATTAAACAAAAACCTCCTTTTATAAAGGAGCCCAGAGAAGGGACATTTGAAGCTAAATCTCCAGATCTCGTCATCCGGTTGACATCTCATTTCCATCGCACTACAAAGCGGTGATCATCAAAAGAACTTCACGCGCAGATGATTTAAAAAAAACCATAGTACGCAAAAGTCAGTACTTAGTAGACAGGCACTAGGATAAAAGGTTTGTAATTTTGCGTTCATTTAGTGGGTATTCTGTGTCATCGGTTTAGTGCATATTCTATACTAGGGGCTCACCATCGCTTCAATCGGTTTCGCCTGTAGAAAGACAAAAACATTTTTTTTTTCGACATATAAAGTAGCCTATGTGTTATTCCAGACTATAATCTATCTCTGTGTCAAATTCCATCCAGATTCTTTCAGCCGTTCTGTCGTGATTGACTAACAAACATCCATCCAAACATCTAAATTTTCACATTTATAATATTAGTAAAATAATTTCAAACTATAGTATTATATAGACGGAGGCCTCCGACAAAAATGTCCATTTCATAAATATTAGCGTGATTTTGCTGTTTATGCTACAAATTCTTGATTTTGCCAGAAAGATCGTATACTTTGACCTCACTATAAAGGGAGCTACAATGGACCAAAACTGGTCGACGTAGCTAGGGCCGACCTCGGCACCACACCCAACATTAATAATAATAAATAAGATCGTATACTTTCTTCAAAGAATAAGTGAATTTTATATATTAGTCGTTGTTTAGTCTCATCTCTTTGAAAGAGAGATAGTAATATACCTTATATATTTTTCTTTTCCTTATTATAATAAAATCCGTTAGGTATTCTTATATTTTCTTATCAAAGTATCGAATAGGTAATCTATTAATATTTGAATTCTGTAAATTTTAAAATAATACTGTGTGGCTTCAAATTTACTTCTGTGACACTCTGTACATATAAATTATTCATTAGTCTGAGGTAATGAGTTGGGTCACTAAACTTTTTCTAGATCATGTAATTTGTACCATCACCTATATAGATTCATAGAATATATTATGTGGAACCCTACAAGTGCAGGTTCCGGATATTCAATACATTTAATTCGCTCCATTTAATGATATTTGCGATGTTTTCATGCTAAGCTACTTAATGATATTTACAGCGTTTTTATACAAATAGTGAGTAATAGCACCATGTAGGGCTTTAGCCTTTCCATTCAATTGTAAGCCGTATGTCCCCTTATTAGGTGTGCCTCAAGTTTATTGTATCGATTATATTCTTTAGTATATAACGAAATAAAAGATTTAAAATTACCCCTATATTTTACTTTATAAATGTGAAAGTTTATACATGTATACATATGTATATGTGTGTAATGTGTATGTTTTATACTCCTTCAGGCCAAAACTGCTGGACCGATTTGGATGAAATTTTGATCAGATTTAGTATAGAGACTATGGCCTGGTATTCCATGTTATTACATAGGTACCTAAATAAGGACAAACTGAAGCTAGGGTAAGAAATAATTCGAACTAATGTGCATAATGATCAACGACTTCAATTGATTTTTCTGTATCTATTTATATATGTATGTATTTAGCCCTTTTTTAACGTCTCAGTGCTGGGCACGGGCCTTCCTTCAATACGAGGGAAACTGGCCATAGCCCAGAACGCTGGCCAAGTGCGAGTTTTCGAACTTCACATGGCTTTCGAAAACTTGCTAGGTTCTCTCAAACATGCAGGTTTCCTCAATGTGGTGGCCCAGTGGTAACGCGCTCGATTGGGAAACCGAATGAAGCTGGTTGAAAGCCCGGGTCTCGCAACCCTGATATTTTCATGTGCGAATCATTTCCAACATAATTACTTGTCTTAGGGTGAAAGAAAACATCATAACCTGCATATCTCAAAAAACCTACAGATTTATATCCAAAACATACACAAAATATTGTAATAGCAATAATAAAAAGAGCACTTGTTAGTTTTGTAAATCATTTAGCCACTGACTTCTTCCATATTTTGAATATGCATTCAGAGCTGAGGGTGATGAATATTTAATCTCTTTAACAGTGTAGCTGCTATGAATGTTATTAAGACCACTATTTAAATCATAACTAGCGGCTCACCCTCGCTTCGCTCGGGTTCGTCGCTAGGTACGTTTTAAATAGATATAAAAAGAAAAAATCTTTCTTTCTCACATTTTAATTATATGTTTTAATACTTACCTATTCCGAACTAAGAGAAATCCAAAAATTAAAATATCATAAAAATTGGAACGCGGTCGAACGGGATAAAAAGTATCCTATGTCCTTCTCCTGGCTCTAAACTACCTCCCTGCCAATTTTCAGCTAAATCGGTTCAGCCCTTCTTGAGTTATAAGCGAAGTAACTAACACGACTTTCTTTTATATATATAGATTGTGCTCAATTGACTGTCAGTCACTTGCTGCTACACTTAGTGGCGTAGTTAACAAAGAAAATGCTAAAATTTTGTAGTTTTTAAAATGATATTTATATATATATATATATATATATATATATATATATATATATATATATATATATATATATATATATATATATATATATATATTTATATATATATATATATATATATATATATATTTATATATATATATATACTGCCTCGGTGGTGTAGTGGCTAGCATGTACGGCTGCACACCCGGAGGTCCTGGGTTCGAGTCCCGGGTCGGGCCAAGTTTAGTTATTGAGTCTTTCTGTATAGTAAGTCTCAGTAACAGCCCGGAGTTGGGAAGTTGGCGGTATTTCACCCCCGTGCCTCGGAGAGCACGTAAAGCCGTCGGTCCTGCGCCTTAACTCTCACCGGTCGTGTCGAGTGGTCGTCCCACCGGAGTATGAGAGTGATAGGAATAGAGAGTGCACTTGTGTCTGCGCGTACACTTGAGCACTATAATATCTTCTGCGCAGTTGGATAATCTCATTGAGATTGGCCGCCGTGGCCGGAATCGGCTAGGAGAACATCATCATATATATATATATATATATATATATATATATATATATATATACATATATTATTTGGTATATGAAATAAATAATAGTTTAGCATGTTTTGTCTCGTTCTAGCAAACACAAACGACTAAATTATAGATAAAGACAAAACAATTCAAGATTGAAATGACGTAAAGTAGGTTTATGAATAATATCATTAACGTGACATAAATAGCTTGACTCTCCGGCCTGACTATGTAATTATATGGTATGGGAGATACGTGAAACTGAGACCAACCTGCAGATATTATACTCTCGCATTTATAATATTCCTGAGGATTAAGGTGGAGTTTGAATATTTAATATTTTTTTCAATTCTTCTCCATTCTACGTGACATTGGCGAAGTAATCTGTGCTCAACTGACACGTTTTGAAGCCAAGAATAATATTTTTCAAAAAGAAACAATATGATTTTTGGATGGAAATAATTGGAGGGTTGGAGAGTAACATAAGATACTTTTACAACGGGAAACAGGGTTATAATAAAACTCAAACACAGGGAATTTCTCAAAATTGACGTAGTATTCATAGACAACGTTAAAAATATGTCTCTATTTATTTCAGAACGAACCCGAACGAAACAAGGGTGCGTCCTTAGTTTATCTATACATATAATAAAATTCTTACTGAGTCAAATCTGTACATTAAATATTTAAAAAAAATCTTATTTAAATAGTCATTGTTATCGATACAGAGGTCGAATCTATACTTTTTAGAATTTTTGCCTATCTGTCTGTATGTCTGGGAACGTATCACGAGAAAACCATTGGACAGATTTTGATGTGGTATGACGATAGCTGGTTATAGAGGTCAACATATAGGATACTTTTTACTGCTGGAAAATATCTCATCTCTGAAAAATCTATACTAAGCGTTTATACGTAGCTAGGGACGCGTCGATAGTATATTATATTTTACATGTTAACTGATACTTGCATGAATAATGATTAATATTGACTGATTTCTGCAGATGTTTCTTTATTGCATTACTTAGAGTATGATTAAAACATGTAACCAAGTTTCATTTCATTCGTAACAATAGGCGCAGAAATTTATGTATGTAGCTTAAGCTCTTAATGCTATGCGGTTTCATAGGCAGAGAGATAGCAATTGTCTGGTGATTGCGAACTTAATTGAAACGCGCTCATAGCTTCGGGCTGGAGACGGTTTTAAGGATAATATATCGTTGTACTTAATGTGCGCGTGTATGTAGAAGCTAAATTAAAAAAAAATACCACTTACAGCTATCATTAGAATAAAATTTAAATAAATATTGTTGCTATCAAAAAAATTGTTATATACCTAGTTGCTACTATACAAAAGAATCATCATCATCAGAACAAAGGTGAACGATATTTTAAAAGGACGTAAAAGTTGTAAGTGTAGGAAAAGGCCAAACGGACGTCAAATTAAAAGATGGGAAGATAACTTACCAAAAGGTTGGAGAAGGTTAGCTCGGAACAGATATTAATGGAAGAAAATGGGGGAAGCCTACGTCAAAAGACAACCTGACCAACAAACTGGTTGTTGAATATTTTATTTCAAAATTAGATATTAAATATTGTTATGTTTCAAGTGTCACAAAGTCAAAACTGTACAAATGGTCAACGAATAAATGCTTTTATTATAATTATTATATTAACAGGCTATAATACCATAAGAACATAAAAAATAAAAGATGAATAAAATTGAGGAAGATTAAGATTTAGAATTGAATCGAAAATTTATACAAATGAATCTGTCAATGAAAATAATTTATCATGTCGAATGGCGGATACTTTCTTCTTTTTTGTAACTTAGGGTTAGGGGAGATGACACGCTAATATGAATTAATCGGCTTTATCAGTTTAAAGTACCTTAAACCTTGCTCTTATAAGTCTTAAGCCAGCACTATATATAATTTACGTTCATTTTTTATCAAATGTACGATAACGGCCTTATTCTAACATTTTTTTCAAAAAAGTAGCCAAAATTATTAGGATGTACATAATTACATAATATTACCCTTTTCTCTCTTTCTGCTTTCTAAATCACAATAAAAAGTATCAAAATGTCACAACAATCTACAAATTACATAAACCAAAAAAATACCTTTGATGACGGCATCTCCAACAAAAAGTTGTCCCGTCTGGTCGGCGGCCTGATCCTTATAAATTTTGGATATTAGTATTGGCAGCTTATGCTCTGCTCCACCCTTTATACTAAGCCCCAGTCCACCGACCTTCTGCCGAGTTATTTGAACCATACGTTCCTGTAACAAGTTCTTCTCTTTACCATACGACCAAAAACGCGAAACTTGCTAACTCAATATAAGTAAAAACAAAGCTGCTTCCACAAATCCAAATATGACTTTTTTCATTACTCTCAAGACTAAAAATCTGATATAAATGTAATGTACGTGCGTGTAATGAGAGTTTGTATGTTTGTATATTTGTTACGGTTGGACATATTAAAACAAAATTTAGTCCACAGATGACATGACGATGGAATACATAGTCTACTGTCAGACACATAGTTACATATACGGGAGATGGTAACTTAACCGTGTCTTCTTCATTCTGCCCAAATGGCACGCCTGTAAGCCACAGAAAATTGAACATTGATGGTAACTTACCCTAGCGTGTGGCACATTTTTGTCCCTAGGCGGTTGTGCAGGGACGATCACCTCACGCTGCACTGTCACCGCCTCCATCGTGAGCACGAGGCGCGCGGGCCGCGGCCGCGACTTGCCGTCCGACACTTGCACCATCCCTGTGCGGATCTGGAAGGTGGTTCATACATTCTAAAATCATGGTAGGAAATTATGATTATGATATGGGTGAAATTACGTTTAAGACGCGTGCGCATTTCTTCTTAACCTGATATAAATTTCATTAACTAAAAATAAATTATATTATTTATCTTATAGTTCCATTTTTATTTGCTTTGAAAATTAGGATTTAGATTAAATAAGATGTTAATTTATGACCATTGTTCTAATTTAATCATATATTTTTCAAGCGCTACGAACCATAAACGAAGATTGAAGAGAATATTCCATTAGATATAACAGCATAATAAACTGTTGTTTCAATAACCAGAGCGTCGCAAACAATAGCACAGCGAAATGAATGGCGACGACAACAGGTGTCAATGATATCTACTTACAAAACTCCTTTCTATAAATGAAATGTAGACTGTCATACAGACGGTACAGAAAGTGTTCAGTATTATGAATGAAAGTATAGGGCAAGCGCGGTAGTGGAACTAGCATCATGTGACGCTGTAAGAAGTGTTAATAACATGTGCATTTTTGCACCATATAAAGAATCTGAGCTTTTAAATAATATTAGAATACATTTTACTCCGGTGGTCTATCGGGTTCGAGTCCCGGGTCGGGCCAAGCTCATTTATTGAGTATTTCTGTCAAAAAACGTTCAGTAACAGCCCGGAGTTGGGAAGTTGGCGGTGTTTCTCCCCCGTGCCTCGGAGAGCACGTAAATCCTTCGGTCCTGCGCCTTAAGTCTCACCAGTCGTGTCTGGTGTGGGTGTCGTACCACCGGAGTATGAGAGTGACAAGAATAAAGTCTGCTCGAACCCGCGCTACACTATAATATCTCCTGCGCAAATGGCTAGTCTCAATGAGATTGGCCGCCGTGGCCGGAATTGGTCGGAGGGCATTATTATTAATATAATTTAGATAGGAATCCCATGAAGCCTGTTAGAAAAAAATAAAGCGTACAGAAAATTTAAGCAAGAAAGGCAAAAGCTCATTTTCATCAGAGAAAAGCGGCTAGAAAGAAGGCTAAGGCGGGAGCTACACTACGCTTCACTCCCGCCTTAGCCTTCTTAACCTAAATTATCCAAATCGGACTGTCACTTAATCGAAAATAAATAATACACTTAGATTAAGAAAATTGTCTACTTACATTTATAAATTTCATGAGTATAATTAAAACTATAGTAATATTATTAAAACAAAAACTAGAAACGAGCGCATACGAAAATTAACAAGAACTAAAAACTACCGGAAAATAATATGAGAAAAATAATTATTATGAAAAAAAGCAAAAATATGAAAATCTGAACGTGTTTAATGAGTACAGATCGTATTTTCACTTAAACTATCGAGCTTCGCGGTATTTTATGACTACCCGCCAAAAATACTGAAAAGTATTCATTCACAGATAATAAAATCAAATTATGTATAATTTTTTTGCTAAATGTAAATTAATTATATAACTCAATATTTTACATAAATCAAATAAAAACTCCTAAATGCATGTATGAATTGAAAATAACATATTTCTATTTTAAAATCTTAGTAATCTGATAACAATTTTCTCTTCTAATAATATGTATAACTTTTAATTAATTATTACGCGATAATCTGTTGCCCTGAGAGCGGTATATAAAACAGAACTTAACAGTTTTGTAAAAATTTAAGATTATTTTGTTTAGATTATTGTTTTAGTGAAATTATCAAAATTTTAATACAATAAAGCCTTTAATTGTTATGAAAATATGAATTTTACACGAAAAAGGATATTTAATATTCGATAAAGGTATGTTTATCTTTTGTAATGACTTATTTAGGTATTGAAATGTTCTAACTTTTAAGTCTCCATAACTTTTAACTCCTTCGTTTCCTTAAAACAATTTATATATATTTGAACTCCCTATAACCTCCCCTATCCAAAAATACCACCCAGGGGACGCGTTCCATATACTAAACTTGTGCCAAGTATCCTATGTCCTTCCCAGGATCTCAAACTATCTTCGTACCAAATTTCATCTAAATCGATTCAGTAGATCCAGAGATTACCTACAACGCCAAAAACTCACAAACTTTACCTCTTTATAATATTAGTAGAGATTGTTAACAATGACGATCGACGTTTCGTTTTGAGCAAGTAAGCCCAGCCATCTCTTATTATGTTGAAGGGGTCGTAGCCCTTAAGTATCCGCTCCTCATTAGTATGAAAAGGGTTTCCGCGGAACTAGGATTAAATTTGAAGTGTACGAAGTACCGAATGAACGATAAATTGGTTATGAATAAAAGTATAGCCACATCGGTTTTCTATCATCATCATCTAATATTAAGGCGATCTCGAAGATGTTAACATCTAACACTATATAGTCATTAATCTATGTCAATTATAATTCACATAATTTAAAATTCAGACGCCTTTTTATTATATACTAGCGACTCACCATGGCTTCGCTCGGGTTCGTCCCTAGACATGTTTTTTTTTTGAGCGGGACCCTAATTAATTTAAATGAAAGTAGCCTAAGTTACTCCTTATAACATCACCTATCTGCCAGGGAAAGTATCGTCAAAATCAGTCCAGCCATTACCGAGATTAACTGTAACCAACAGACAAATGGACGAGAGAGGCGAGAGACAAAAATAAATAAAAATAGTATTTTTCTTGTTAAGTAAACTTACAACAATATCGAAAACCGCATCCAAATAGGTTAAGCCGTTTCTGAGATTAGCGCACACAAACGCACAGACAAACAAACAAAAATTCTAAAAATTATTGTTTTGGGTTCTATTGCGTAAATGAAAACCCCCAATGATAGTTTTTCTTAAATATCTTCCATGTACAGACAGCGATTAGTTACACTTTTATTATATGTAGGTATAGATAATAGTTCTAAATTATTTTTTAAAAAAGCTTCTCAAAGAAATGCATAAAATACCTAAATGCTTTATGTCCATTATCATTTAACTTTTATTATGCAAAACAAGTAAGTATAGTTGTTTAGTTATATGAAAAGGACTAGGTACAAAACTTAACAATCAAAAGTTTGTTATTAAAAACTTAATTACGAAACAATTTTCATATGAGATTTCATCATCAATTGTAAAGATCTTCGTTTGAGTAAAAAAAAAGAGAAATCTCATTAAATCCTTTCGAAAATTCAACGTAAAAAATGCATTAGTTTTATTAAGTAATATTTACAAAGAGACTAATATTTTTTGTACCAATTACTTTCCATACTAACATTATAAACTAGGAGTACCCGCGGCTTCGCCCGCGTTAAACTTCCGATATAAGCATCAGTTTTACGCCAGTGTTGGAATTCTGCCCGATTTGTTGACATTTACGATTATTACTGCTCCGCTCCCTTGGGTAGTAGCATGATGATAATATATGGCCTGTATAGCTTTCCTCAATAAACGGGCTATCTAATGAAAATATTTTTTTCAAATCGGATTAGTAGTTCCTAAGATTAGCAAGCGAACAAACAAACAAACAAACTCTGCATCTTTATAATATTAATAGGTATAGATATGAAAGTTTGTGAGGATGGATGTTTGTTACTCTTTTACACCAGAATGGCTGAACGGGATCTGGGTGAAATTTGGCACAGAGATAGATTATAGTCCGAAATAGCACATAGGTTACTTTTTATCCCGGAAAAATATCCAGTTCCCACGGGAACTTGAATTTTTAGTCTAGGGACAAACCCGAAGCATATGTAAGTCGTACATACAACTCCTTTTTTTAATTATTTCAAGATTAAGATTATAGTCAAAAAGTTTAAGTTAGATAAGTTTATAAAATTGTTGTTAAACACAAACAATTTTCTTTTACAGTTTAACAAATTAATAATGAGAACATTAGACATGTAAATGCGAGTTTAGCTAAGATAATAAATGGAGTAATTATCTGTGTTTCTTAGGTAAATACTGACATATTTTACACTGCACATTTAGATTTTTTTTAATGTAAAAATAAAAATAAACTTCATTTTATCAACCTAAACACAGCACAAGCCTCTCCGAAACGCAAGGAGAGTAGTCCTCAGTGTCAAAAAGAAAGTTGCAGGATTTTGCATGTCTTTCAATGATTTACACAAGTTTTTAATATATGGAAACTTCATTGGTGCTATCTTAATATTATTTATGTAATATTGTACCGTTTGTTTCCCTAAAATAAATAAATGAGTAAATTAAAGGAATATTATAAAATCTTAAATATGAATATTATAATAGCAATGTAATAATATTCTCTAATTATATTATAAGAGCAAAGAAACACGTTTTTTTTAATATTGGGAACTGCATTTACCTATACCACCTACATACAAACAAACAGCTTGTTATGTGGGATTCACTGGCTAGATAGAGAAGCCAGTATGTGGCGAAACACTAAAATAGTTTTTATATGTTGTTTCGTTTCGCCGGTTTAAACAAGGAAAAAAAAGTTAAGTGGACATTTGTCATGTAAAAATTAGATATTATTTTTACTCATATAAAAACTGATGTAAATATCTCTATTGGAGTTGGTTTTAATTTCTCCCATACTCCAAAAGTAGTACTACCCACTAATACCCAACGGATCCTCCTCCGTCTTAATGGACATCGCTTACACGCTCAAACTCGACACCCCGACGGCAGGTCTGCCAGAGCCGACCAAGCACTAAAGGGTTGCTCACACAGTTTACTAGTAACAACCGGCATGGTACACCACCCACCTTGGTGGGCCACCTCCCTTTGTGTCTCTTGGCTTCGCGCTTGGCTGGCTTGACGGACGCTTATTAGCCTCCCACCATGACAAGATGAACACACATCGGGGAAGAGCAAACAAACACAATGCTACAAGTTACAAATGGTAGTAAATATATAGATCTAGATGTGCTGGGTTACAAGTCCTCGGTTAAGCCAAGTATAACTATTGTATTTATCTGCCAAGAAATTCTCAGTAACATCTTAGTCTTATGCCTGATCTCTCATTAGTTATGAGAAACATTTCCTTACTGCATTTTGAGAATAAAAGTAATATAGAGTTCCCATATTGACCTACACATTTGGGCGGTATTAAAGTGGAGGTGGCAAGTCGCATTAAGATTTACCACCATGGATGAAATCAGCCAAGAGCACATTATTATTATATCTCTGATGGACTTCTGGTGCAATGGGTCAAATTTAAATCATAGTGAGTTACTTTCCTTCTTTGAGATTTAATGCACCAAAGGAAAATTAGGTTCAGGAATAGAAAGGCCATTGCCAAGGAAGAAGTGCTGTTAATGCAGTGAATTTCTCTACTTTTTTTGAATAATCAAAACAATTATATATTACTTATATCAATGCTAAATATATTAAGAAAAATAATAACTTAACTATTTTTTTTAAATTGTTTCAGAATTTTGGCTTTGAGTTAACATTCTTGAGATTTAAATTGTCCCAAGTATTGAAAGTCACCAGTAAATATGAATTGATATTTCTAAATAATTAAGTAATTATTATCTCTGTAAAAAATTATATACTTAATACTATATATTTTTTTTCAATATAATAGTTTATTTTAAATTATTTCAATTAAAATATTTTATCTTTACAAAAAGATTTAACATTATTATTTGAATATTAACATATTCTATTTTTGAAATTGATTGAGACAATATAATAAAACAATAATAATTATTTGCTTCTATTAAAACTTGATTTAATTTAAATGAAAGTATTGAGTATAATTTAAATTTATAAAAAAATAAACTTTAATTCTCAGAAACCAAAAATTATCGATACTCAGCAGGGGGTAAAGAAAAAAATATCTATTTTTATAATTAATATTTGAAGACTTATCTTAAAAAAACAGAAAAGTTCCAGACCAATAAATACTTAAATACATGTATAGACCAAATTAATATAAATAATTAATTAAAACCAGTAGAAACAATTTCTAAATGTAAATATAAAATGTATTAATTATTGTATACAGTGAATAGAAGTAAGAAATACCTTTTCATCTCTCTTCTCCTCGATCGGTGTCATCATTGTGGATAATAAACCATTACGAATATGAAATAACCGATTTTATCTAATAATTAACACAGCATATTTCATAACTGGAGTTCATTCTTTGGCCTAATTAATATCTAAACTGATTTAGATCAGTACAGAACACCATCACTAATTACTCGTCCACTGACCTCTTACTATTAATTATTTACGAGATTCACATAACAAATACGAAAAACAGGTCACTGGCTTACAATAAATCAATATACTTGAATGGAACCAAAACAATACATGAATTACTATAATCTACTATTTCATACAATGGCTCTTGTTGAATACGTAACTATTATATTTTAGGTTTTCTTGGATATCTTTATTAATAATAACAATGATCTTAAAAGTTTTATTGTGTTAATATTTAGTTAAAATTAAATATTGAAAGACATTCAATCTCGACAACAGTAGAATATGTACTAGAGATAAATGTTGCCAGTGGATAATATTTTGTGATATATTAAAGCTCAGCGCACACGAATGCAGCTATCCATCTATAAAGCGATGAAATCTTTTCAAGTGCAGGCTTTAACTGACAAGTGCCTTGGTCGGTGGTTCGCTTGGATATTATTGTACTGCTTCATTGAATACATGCATATTGAATTTATTCTAGAAAAATATTTTTAAGATTTGATGTCTATTGGCGATGCAAAGAATATCCGCGCGCCTCTAGCGGCGAAATTTAGAAGTTGTCTAAGAACGACACTTTGTTTTAAAAGTTGAGATTAAGTTTAAACATAATCACTAATCAGATGGATAACAATTACATACAGAAATCTGTTGCTAATACAAGCAGAAATGCGAAATATTTTTGCGTTCCTCAATGTAGTACTTACGGAGATTCGGGAATAAGTTTTAAATTGTTTCCAAAAGACAAAATTATAAGAAAAAATGAGAGACTGCTTTAAGAATAGGCAAGCCGATTTCACCAGCAATGAGAGTCTGTTCGGAAAATGATATTTTCAAGCTTCAAACTATTTTCCAAACAGTGAGTAAAATTGTGATTCAATTATATTATTCTACATAATATATCGTATTCACATGTATTTTATAAGTTATTTATTTAGATTAGGCTAAGGCGAGTTTCTCATAAGATAATGAGACTATGTTTATTGTTCCAGATTCTAAAAGACAGAAGTTGTTTCCTAATGTCGTACCATCTCAGAATATTTCTCAAAGAAGCTCTGATAAAGAAGTACCACTAGCACAAAAAATAAAATCAATTGCTCAAAAAAAAGGGCTGTCAACAGACCCAGGAAAAGAGTTGTATCAAAGATTTATCTTAGACTGGCTATTGAGAATGAAAAAATTGAAGTTGAGGATGGATTTGAGGATAATAATATAACTGATAACAGCAGTCATCATCATGTCATGACTTTATCGATTAACAACATAAATCTGATTTATATTTAATAAATATTTTTTTCTGCGACGTAAATTGTATTGAAAACTATCAAAGTGTCGTTCTTAGACAGCTTCACAATTTTGACACTTAAGGCGCTAGTTAGGATCTTTGCATCGCCAATCGAAATATTGAATTTTGATTCGTCGCTTACTTACAACCTTAGGCAGTTCTACACATAGGTAAAATTTTGTATGACGTAATATTTAAAATAATTCGTTGAACTGCTATTAATTTTCAAGAGACGATATTATGACGTTTTATGTTGCGCGTTCATGTATTTGTCCTGAATCGAATGTTGGGTATTAAAAAAAACAATGTTTGTAATGTCAAAATATCAGCTTTTTACTAAACGCACATCACAATTTTGACGGCACATTTAAAAAAAATCAATTTTTATAATTTTTATCTGTCTGTCTGATTATTCCGGCTAAACGGCTGGATCGATTTTAACAGGACTGGCTGATAGCTGATATTTAAGGAGTAACTTAGGCTACTTTTATTTTAGAAAAAGAATTAGGGACCTAGGGTGCCGCGAAAAAAAATAAAAACCATGAAATTGTCAGCAAAATCTGTCTACTTAGGGACGCACCCGAGCGAAGCGAGGTCAAGAGACTAGTCGATAATATGGCTTTTAATGTAAATAATTCATAATATGATGTTTCTTGCCCTTTTTTATTAGTTCATTGTTCAGTAAACATCATGTTTAGGGGTTCAATGATAAATAAATTTACTACTATTGTTATATTGTATAATACGTATGTACATTGTACATCTACATCAGAATATCTTTATTCGATTATTTTTACAGTAGGTACACATAGAAAATGGAACTCTATGGTCATCTTGATTAGTTCAACTAGGATAAAAGAATGATATAGTAGCAAAAACTTAAAACTTCAGTTTTTCTGAAGGCCGTGTAAACCTTTATATAATGAGAAAACTTTAATAGAAAAAGTTTATTATAATATATTATCCTGACTATTAAATTTCCCTAAAGATAACATATTTTCAATGCTGACTTAATATCTAAGATCAGATCAGATCTAAGACATCACTTTCGTAGATTTTGCATATCATTAAAATTTTATGCAAATATTTTCCTATTGGCGGTGATAATTTCGTTTGGGGATGTTTTTGAATCTAAGAATTGCAGTTTGCAGTACTTACTAGAAACATTCCTAATTACTTTATTATGTGTTCATACTTTAACTAGGTACATATATCTAACTATTTATAATGCAAACTCAGTCTAGTGTTGTCATTGGTTTGGCGGTTATAAAATAACAAACAAAGTAGCTATATGGATAAAAAAATATTTTCTTTTATATGTGTATACCTACTGTAATATGTTTAATTTATGTACCTATAGCAGATAGGTGGAAAGAGAAAAATAACAAATAACACGCTTACGACACACAATTTTATTTCCATCCCTCGTACTAATATTAAATTAATAACTTTATTACACAACATGTATATAGAAAGATTTTTATACAATAGTGTATAATTAAAAGCTAATCAACTATCAACAATACAGTAAAAGAATTACGAATCGCTTAAATTAGCAGTCTATTATAATGATATGTATCTTTTGCGGTTTGGAACAGCCGTTTTAATTTAATCTTACTTAAACCCGTCACTCGGCTAATTAACTAAAGCACAGTAAATCAATATTTAAAAAATAATATATCAATTAAAAAAATTAAAAGAAGTAATTAAAATGAATAAAAATTTTTTTTTGGATATAAGTGGACAAAATTAAACTTACAACTGACGTGAAGTCAAATATCGAACACATAGTCTGTATGAAACCTTATATCGCTATTTTCATCCTAATATATTTTGAGTTTTGACACAAAAATCTGGTATTTTTGCGCCTTTTAAATTTTTACGGTTTACCAATAAAGAGTTTTGCCGAGTGACATAATAATATATTATTTTATTATTCTTACTAATAATTACAACTAATTTATTAATCGTGTGCATAAAAAAGGTAAATTTTATATTTTTCACTTAGTCCTTGAGTATTTAAAAACAAAGAATTGAAAAAAACAAAACAGAAGCGGTGAAATTTAAATTTTATTTACAACCTTTTGTCACGCAAATTTAAAAGGCAGTAAAGAGTTTCATAACTAAGTGTGACTAAGAATGGAGACTTAATTTTTAACTGTAACCAAATATCAAAAAAAGAAGAAGTGTGCACTTGTAAATAATACAATCAGTTCTCTGAGTTGCTCAATAGCCAGTGTAATAAGTAAAAATAAATACGTCATTTACTTTAAATATAATACACACAAAATATTTCATACAATTCTACATTCACTGTGATTATAAATATTAAACAATTCCAATTTTTTTTTTTTATATTTTATTAACTAACTGAGCTGATTGAGAGAACACAAATATTAGATTACTTGACCCCTCGATGAACATGTCCGTCTAAATATACACGCAAAATGCTAATAATTTGCAGTCCTAACAATACTATTAGCATATTAAACGTAACTTATACATTTCCGTCTTATTAATAAACGAATATTTGAGTGACGGTAGTTATAAATAATGTTTAAATTATTTATTATTCTATCCAATTTCATGATCTTTTATATTAGGTACATGTTCGGTAGTTGACTAAAGATGGCGCCAGTTAAGACATTATATATTTTCATGTACTGTGACGATTATTAATAAGACTTTATGTTTTTAGCAGTACATTAGTGCCATTTAATGACGCGATCATCCTCAGAAAACACAGTCTACTTAAAACTAATATTTACATTGAATTATTTGTATTAGAACCTAACTGTCTTCAACAGCGTTTAAACAAATCACATTATATAAGTAAATACTCTCTATAAATAACAAATATTAACACTTAGCTATGGGGTCGTGTGAACGACAAAATCACAAAGTTAAGAGACGAGCGATTGTCGAGGGAATTATAAAAATCGATTACGAAATTATTTCGATTACTTACATATTATTTAAAAATGCAGTGGATAACTTGTTGGTCACCTTGTCTGATCAACGTATACAGGTAGAGAATGGACTGAGCAATACCGTCATGAAATTGACCACTCTCTAGAAAGAGAGAAAGCGAACGTGCGCCCAATATCTACCCATCTTTTTATTCCAATTTGAAGTTATGAATGGAAAGTAAGAAATATATATTATTGTTGAAAATCATTATAATGTTATTATATATATTATGTCAAATGATTACAACTATCCATGTTCATAAATCGTATTTCAATGAATACAGAAGACTTCTGGCCGCATGTTCGTTTTGTCTCTATCGCACGTGTCCGCCATTTTTCGGCGGCGGCTGATAAAGTCACAGTCCATTCTCTATGTCTACGGATAAACTATCGGAGTGTTTCAAAATCGATTTTTAATCATGTAAATCAATCGCCTCTTTTAAGCCTTGCTAAGTCCGTTTCATAACAAAAGTTGCCATGACTTAGGTTTATTAAATTGCCTGACAGCCGTCGCGTTATCACAAATTACAATCAATTTGTGTGTAAAATGTAAAATTAAGAATAAAAAATTGAATTTTCATTTATGCTAACCATTAAAAAGCGTAGTTTATAAAAACCTGATTCCAAAAAAATACGAGTCAAAATAACGCTAAATAAGTAATTCAGCGCTTAAACACAATTAGCATAGTAAACATTTTTCAAAATATTTTAATGTTTTTTGTACGCAAAAAGCTTATCATCAAAACCCTATCTAGTACAGGTAAAGTGAACGGCTTCGTCATTCATCATAATTTGTTAGCGTACTAAATATAAAATCTACTGTGGACCTTGGAATGTTAGACGTGGATCGTGCATTCCCGACGCTCTTGTTCTTTTCTTTGTTGGTATCTGGAATAATAAAAATAATTATTTATAATAGAATGCTAACTAATTTGAAGGCAGCGGTATGCCAGTGGTATACGCTCGCTTGGGAATCCGAGTGAAGCGTGTTCAAATCTCGTGTCTTGCACCTCTGATATTTTCATGTGCGAATCATTTCTAGCATGATTACCACTTGCCTTACGGTGAAGGAAAACATCGTGAGGAAACCTGTATGTCTGAGAGAACCTAGCAAGTTTTCGAACGGCCAACTCGCACTTAGCCAGCGTGGTGGATTATGGCCTGATTTTACACGCATTAAAGGGAGACTCGTATACCTACTAACTAATACATTAAATATTATAATCAGTTCAATTTATGGTATATACTCGTACCTAGTCAATATTTTTTGCTTTTGTCTCTAAAATACAGAATTATTTCCAGATTCCCATAACTTGTACTTTCACCATCTTTTTTAAAATGACAAGAGATAGTTAAGTTTGTATTTCTATAATATTTCTACTTAATACAAAATCTAAATTAATTTAACTTACTTATCTATTAACGAAGATATATCGGGAGGTACCGGCGCAAAGCACCCGGAGAGCCCGTCGCTCCCATTTTGACCTCCACTATAAACGAAACAACCATAAGTTAAAAAACATATTTGTTAAACAAAATAAATATTTACAAATCGTTTTAATTTAACAAAATAAATCGTCGTTAAAATAAATCGACTTTTAATTAAAAATATGCTATCAATTAGCAAGAATATTATTAAATTATATAATAATGAGCGTCGTACTTGCAAATAATGTTGTAACAGAGTCTAAATTGTATAAAAGATACAAAAAAAACTTAAAAACTGTAGGTACTTAGGTGATCTGTGGGAAGTATGGGAGCGTCAGAAGAATCAGAAATTAGTTATATAATTTTTGTTACAGTATCATGGGTCTTACTTCCCTGTTTCCATGCTCTTATATAAAGCGAGAGTTCCTGATGAACATGGTAATTGCTTGAATCTAAATTGATAAATACACGGACCGAGCCACAAGGGATTCTTTATGGAGATATATGTAATAAAAAAACCTATGCCTATTACATTGTTACATTTAATATAATAATAATAATATTACTGTAATGAATTATTAAATCCTTAAGTAGTAGTTATCCATGTCACTACAGTACTGAGTACTGTTATAATATAAAATGACCTCGCCTGGACATTCAGTCATGAAAAACAATATATTATAAGTTTATTTCTATTCCTAGTGTTTATTCATTATTTCATACTAGTCTAATAGATTCGGAGAAACCTAAAAATTAACAATTCACTATTTAAATGATAACAATATACCTAGTAGAATAGATAATAACAATATAGGAAAGTTTATAACAATAAAAATTAGGTATAAAACATGCGTAGCTAACTTCTGATACTAAAAAATAAATAAAAAAAGCAAATCCACTAATATCTTAATAAATAATTGACATATTTACATATTATAATTATTTTGTTTACCTTGGCCACTGGCTAGTACTTAGTTTGTTCTGACATTGACATAAAACGAAAAAAAAAATTATCTACTTAACAAATAATTAAATAAAGTTGCGAAGCATCTACATATATATATATGTATTGTAGTTAAGTAAGGTTTAAGCACATACATTGAGCGATGGTAGGTGGCGAGGGGTGCGGGTGTGGGCGGGTGTGGGCGTGGGGGGAGGTACCTGGTCTACCTGCTGGCGGTGCGCCGTCCGCTGCCGTACGCACTGCCGCCTCCCGACCCGCCCGAACCTGGGGTAAAGGAGAAGTTATATAATTAAATGTGATTTTAAAAATATACTCTTAGCCTTAAAATGAGTATATGAATCTGTTTTTGTCTTTCTACTAAAAAATAAGTTCAATTATAAACAAAATTTTTCCATTGCGTTCCGTAGTGGAATAGGAAGCAGGGTCGATCTGTTTTAAAGAATAAAGATTTAAAAATATATTATTTAATACATTTTAGTGTACAAATATGTGTGTACTAAAGGTTAGTGAAGTGATTAAGACCTAAAACACTTTTAATTCGAGCGTACCTACATCGAGTGATTTAAAAAATTGTCGTGTGGACAACTTGCTTTGGACCCGAATGCGTCTTGAAACCTTCTACGAGAAGACTAATCTCCACGGAATCCATGAAAAAAACAATAGAACTAAAACACCTGTGCTTTATTGTGCTATGTACTAGTATAGCAATTTATCATTTGACATTAGCAGAAAAAGTCTTGTTAAAAGGTTTGGTTGCCATTAACCAAAAAACCCCTCTTTTTTCGATTTTTTTCGCGATTTGATTCCGAGTGCTTCGAATACTTTACAACAAGCTTGGTTACGGGAGAGACTGCAGAATTCGGAACGTCGAGAATGAAAAATCACAAAAAATAATCATAAAAAAATAGTTTTATTTAAAATGTAAAACATTTTCCTTAATCTGAGAAAATACTAAGTGAATTTTATATTATATGAACCTTTAGTGGTAGTGTTGGCTGCACTATCGCTATAGTCGTCGGAGTCGGAGCGCTCGCGCCAGTGCGCGGGCGCGGCGTGCGGCGCGGGCGCGGGCGGCGGCGCGCAGGCGGTGCCGCGCCTCCACCGTCGAGCACTTCGATAGGCTGGACTCGTCTGTAATGTTATTAACTGTATTATATTTGTTGCAAGTGGTAGCCCAGTGGTAACACGCTCGTTTGGGAAATCGAATGAAGCGGGTTCAAATCCGGGTCTCGGACCTCTAATATTTTCATGTGTGAATCATTTCTGACATATTTACCACTTGTGTTACTGTAATTTGTGTCTCCAAGTAAAACAAAACATCTATATTAGGTTCTATGCACATACAAACTTTTTTAGGGCTGTAGACGCTCGTTCGACTATGACTTCCCTTCGATGCGTAGTAAACGCGTTCTCTTTACGAATTTGTACTAATACAATCTTTATTATTTAATGTATCAGCGTAAGATATACGGTACCCATACACGTACGACATACGTTCGTGTATCATGGGCGTCGTCGGCACGCTTATAAAATGTGGTGTGCAGTCACACTCATCCATAACTACTAAAATAATTAATGTTTATTTAATAATAAATAATAATCTCTTTAAAGTAGTAGTATTACGTAGTGATTGGTAGACCTAAGCAATATTGCATTAAATATACCTATTTATAATATGTATTTATTTAAAGCTATATATGTGTAGTGTATCAACTATCTGGTATCCATAACACAAGCCTCGTAGCTTGCCATGGTACTAGATGGTATTGTGTGTTAATGTCCCAATATATTTATTTATATATTTCGATAGTCTTAAAAGACGTAATTTCCAAGACTTACCATATCGGTAGTGGTCGCAGGCGCGCCTCCGCCGGCGGTGCGGCGGCGCGGCGTCGTCATCGCGCCGCGCCAGCGTGCGGAACTGTAGCGAGTGCGCCGCCGCGCCGCCGCCGAACGTCGCGTATGGACTGATCTCGTATAGTTCAGCTGTGAATAATAGGTATACTCATGTTATATATACTTAGGTTTTATAATTTAGATTTTAAAAATAGAACCTTATTTAAATATTAATAATATAATATATAGTACTAATTAATTTAAACTGAATTATACAACTAAAACTAAAAAGGTTTAGATGGGCATGTTCAAAGTTAGACAAAAGATCTTGTAAAATCATAAATTTTATTAAAAGTCGTGTCAACAGTTTTTAGAATCTTTTTCGACGCATCAGTCATCACTAGGTATTGATAATGAAAAGGATCAGCAAAGTTTGCATAGGAAATATTAAATATAGTTATTAGTTACGGGAGCTGATGTATTACAACAAAAATATAATAAAAGTATAACCCAGTACACGTTGCTAGTAGAAAATATAGGTATTAGCTAGATTTTTTTATATATATAAAGATCTACATCGCTCCGATCTAAGCCCTCTTATTATATAGCTCGGGTCCAATTCACTGGTAGTGAACTTAATATAATATTTGTTTTATTACCTGATGAATCATCATTTGACTTCTCGTTGCCGTTTATAGACGACGATGAATATAACTTGTGTCCTTCTCGAAGTTTCTCCCGTTCAGCCTCGTTACTCTCACTTAGTTTTCTGTTATCACGCAAATAATGATCATTTGAAAAGCAGAAAAATCTGAAATACAAAATTAAGTTAAAAATAAATTAGATATTAGTATGCATATTAATAGACTATTAGTCTATTAGTATAATTCAATCAGAATATTAGTGATGTTAATGTTAATGATTACGGGTTTGATTTCTCTACGAGGTATTTTATTCTTTTTTTATCATGATTAATTTATTATTAATAATACATACATACATACATTTTCTGTCCTCAATACAAAACATTAAACAGACTTGTTTAGATAGTGAAAAATCAAATTGTATTTATATTTATGACAAAATTTTTCTATATTAGATAACCATGATGGTCTGTATCGTGGTAGTATGTTTTATCATTAATGAATAGGAAATAGTATCCAATAAAGTTTTAATATTACCACTGCTTGGACCACATAAATAAACATATCAGACATGCTCTGCCAATAAATCATATCGTTTAGTACAAGTAAAGATATCAGGACTTACTTCAGGACTTACTTCCGCTTACTTAGCGATAAGGCCGCCTGTTATGCTATTTCTTTTTTAATATATCTATACTAATACTATTATAAAGAGGTAAAATTTGTGAATTGTGAGTTTGAGAATTTGTGACGTTGTAGGGGGTAATCTCTGGATCTACTAAATCGATTTAGATAAAATTTGGTAAGAAGATAAGTTGAGACCCTGGGAAGGACATAGTATACTTTTTATCCCGAAAATCATCCCTTAAGGCGGTAAACATGGGGGATGAAAGCTTGTATGTACCTACATAATATACTTATATGTCACGTAATTTTTTTTGGTGTGCAACAAAGCATATTTGATTTGACTCACTTCCGCTTCGCGTGCAGCAGACACAGCAGCGCCGCGAGCGCCGCCACCACCACGAGCGCGCTGGCGGCGCCCCACACCAGCGCCGCGCGCCCGCCCGCGCGCGCGCCGCCCGCCGCCGGCGGCGACACCCGCAGCGGCGGGATGCGCCCTGCGGACCGTAGGCATGATGCACAATGTGTTAGTTTTTAGACAATATGGACGATAATTTACCTCATTATATTAGGTATATCTTAAACATTTGATCATTAAGCGCACGAAACAATACATGTTATCATCCCATTAGTAGTTTAATAATGCAGTTCTTTGTCATAAGCACCCAGCTGGGTAGCTGAGCTGGGTAGCTGGGTAGCCGAGTACGAAGGCAAGAGACACACTGGAGGCGACCCACCTCAGTGGACGATGTACCATGCGGGTCGCTTCAGGTATTTCTTTGGTAGCAGAGTGGATCGTGGGAGCAATATTTGGTTGTTGTGGTCTGTTTCCGTATACTAGCTGTTGGGCGTCGTGATTGAGTGCGTAGGTAAGTGATCCTGTGACTACCCATTGAGACGAGGGAACTTCCGTTCGGTTTTACTGGGTAGTACTGGCTTTTGTAACCGGTGAAACCCACATAACCACCTGTATGTATGCAGGTGTCATGCGTAAATGCATTTCTCGACGCTATAAATAAAGGCTTCTAATGGTACTTGCAGAATAATAGAAAATAAACAAATTTTTAATTTTTCATAACTGAAATAAATGAGTAGGTAATAAATATTACCTCCAGCCAAAGTATGCGTGTCTGCGAGTAAGGTGACCCGCTCCACGCCCGCGTCGCTCCACGCCTCCACCGCGAGCTCGTACCACGCGCCCGGCGACAGCGCGCCCACCGTGTGCCGCGCCGCGCTCAAGCCTGACCCGGCCTTCAACAAATTAATTAAAACATATCCATTCATTAAAAAATACAATATTAAATTGCTACTATTTTTAATGAACATCATGTACATTCATGTCTTATACTACTAGTTCAGATCTCAGAATGCATGTCCTGAGATCTTTTTAAAGAAACTGTGGAGATCAGGTTAAATAAACTGAGCGCGTCTGTAGCTTTTTTATATAATATTTTACACATTTTAAGAATCTTCAATGCTAAGATACTAACTAATTGAAAGGGACATTTAAATACTTCAACTGAAATACAAGTGCCACTTAAAATATATTAAACATACATAAATATTTATAGATATATTTTTTAAGGACTATCTTTTTAGATTAAATATATTTTATAACATTATATATTTAAATATGTATAATTACCGATTAAATATTATCTTTTTTTCATAAATTGAAGTAGTAAAAATTACATAAATACAAATTACGATAAAAACCTGTATCCAATGATCATCTCCTGCGCGTCGGTAGGCAATGCGGAAACCCAATATGGGGCAGCCCCCATCTCGCCACGCGTACAAGTTGATTTTAATGGCAGTGGCATTTGTGTGTACGTGTTCTTCTGGCTTAGGTGCTTTTGGACCTTCGAATAATTCAAAGAAAACCGTCACAAGCTATCGATATAAAAATAAAAAAAATATATATCTCAATAGTGGCAGCGAAATGGTAACGAACGCACTTATAAAATTAAGTGAACCTAGTTAAAACCAGATCTCTGAGATTTCATGTGGCTTGAAATAAAAGACGATGAAGGAAAATATCGTGAGGAAACCTACATATTTGAGGATACCTAACTAGTTTTTAATAGACATGGTTTCAGCACCATGGTTTTCTATGGCTTGCTCTCACTATTGAGGGGCAGTCTGGGTCCAGGAATAGGACAGAATTTTCATTATATATTATTATAAGTTTTATTAATTACTCTCATGAGTATATTACATTATAACCGTGGCAAATATTTAGATATCCGATTACATGAAAATAAACAATCAAATTTTATAATAATGATAGTATTTATTGTTGGACGGATAATAATAAACTTACGGCCTCCTCTTGTAGTAGCGGTAAGGACTTCACTGGGTGGTCCTAAAGATATTTTGTTCTGAGCTTGAATCTTGGCGTTGTAAGTGGTGCCACATTTGAGCATGTCCATTGTATAGGATGTCTGCTCTGGAGAAAGCTCCACGGTCAGCCATTCCGTTTCAGATGCTTGCTTGTAGTGCAGTATGTAACCTGTAGAAATTTTTATAATAGGTAACTTACAATAAAATTGAAAAGGTTCTGAATTTGTAAAAAGATTTAGAGAAACTTGGTGGAAGATATACTCGTACAGGTGTGGAAATAATATTTTTTTAATAAACTACAAGTATGATGAGATGTATGATGATGTATAGAGAGTATGATTTTGATTTCATGAGCAAGTTACAATAAAAACACGAAATTAGGTGATTCTTTTCGCTAGAACCTTCTTTGCTGCATCTTTCACAAAACGAATTTGAAGCAAAGACGAGTGTCATAATCTAATCCTCCCCTAAATACCTTAGAATCAAAATTTGCATGAAAAAAATTTTCTGACGAAGTTTGAACGCAAGATCTATATAAAAGATTAATAAGACGCAAATATATGTATTATATATGAAATCACCTAAAACTGGTTGATCAGAATCTGGCATTCTCCAGTGCAGCTTAATGCTAGTGGCGGTCGTGTACTGCAGCGACAGGGCGGGCGCGCCCGGCGGCAGCACCGCTCGGACGGTGTACACTATAGAGTCTTCCCCGATACTATTTGTGGCTGTACACGTGAAGTTGCCTGATGATTGTTCATTTACTTCTGTAATGAAATAGAAAAGATCAACAGAATGGAAATACATGCTTCTTGCAAAACTAGCTACTTGCCTTCGCGTAGGCGTCTTTTAGTGCTATACAGCCTATGTGTTATTCCAGGTCACAGTCTATTTCTATATTAAATTTCATCGAAATCCCTCCAGTTGTTTTAGCATGATGGAATAACAAACGACATATATACCTATGACATATACAAATTTTCGCAACTATAATAGTAGTCCAAAATTATTTTACTTTGTACAGATTACATAACATAATTATTTATAGCTTTAATTTGTTCCGATTTTGTAGCTGAAAATGTGTGGAACTAATTTCTGGTTGGCGTTCACGTAGGATAAGTAGATAACTATTGTATTACAATATTGTAAACAAATATTATTTTAAAAGAGCAACCGTTGAGTTTCTTACAGGCTCTTTTCAGCAAAACTGCTTTCCGAGCCGGTGGTAGTTCCTCACTGACTGACTACACTGACATTTAATTTAAATTTAAAATGAAAAATTGGGTGAAAGTGTCGTATAAAAGATGATTATTGTCAAAACTTCATTTATTATTAAAAGCTCTTATTTATGGACACCATTCCAATTATCTAATGATATTCTAAACCGTACCTCGTATATGTAAATGTCCGTTCCTCGTGACCTGGTAGAACCTGTGGTGTGTGACGGGCGCCCTCGCGTGCGCCCAGCGCGTGCGCGGCGTCGGCAGCCCCACGGCGCTGCAGGAGAGCAGCGCGCCGCGGCCGACGCCCACGCGGATGGTGCCGCCGAATGAGGCTATCCGCGCTGGAACTAAGACAGTTTTGATTTATTTATGTGGTTACTTACAAAAAGTAATAAATTGTTTTCACTTTTATATAATAAAGAATTATATAAAAGTGTTAAAGCTGTACATAAATCTCTTTATTTTAGGTTTTGTATTTTGATTAAATCTGATGATGAATGAATGAATCTGAAATGAAAAAAGAATTGCGAGATTTTATTCAAGTATTTCTTCTTCACTTATATAAAGTTTAGTCTATGTTACATTATATTATGACCATGGTTTTTGTAACAATATTAGGCACAATAAAATAACAATTAAAAATAACAATAAATAGCCAGATATACCGTTAGTTAATTTGATGCTTTTTTACGTGTTTTATTCGCAGAATTTCTTATTTTAAAATTTTTATTTGAAAAATTAAAAGATTTCAATAAGTATTAAAATACGTACTTCTGGAGCTTGGTCCTTGCCCCACCACTAGAGTAGACTCCCCTTCCCCCGACCCGGTAGTGGCTGACGCCCAGAACTCATACAGTTGGTTCTCCATCAGATTTCTGACTTGAAACATTAATTCTGACTCTTGGCTCTTATCAGCTGACACCGTGAAGCTCGAGTGCTTACCTAACCTGTCCCGAAAACAATTCAACTAAAGATTTTATTCAAGCGTCTCAGATTTAATAATTTTTCGAATAAATTAAACTTATATCTTCAGTAATATAAAATGCACTTATAAATATGATAGTAAATGCCGAGTACAAGTAAGGTAAGTTAAAACACACGTTATATGAGATTTTTACTTCATGCTACAGTACCATATATGTCTAAAATAAGTAAAAAGTAAAGACAAAAAATATTGATTATTTTCTATAATTCTGTGCATTCAGACATCCAGATATTATAGATCCAAAAAATTAAAGCTCAGTCGTAGAATAAAAATATTTGACAGAAATTTAACCTACGCATGCATGAGTTGATTCTGGAACAGTAAATAGTATCGTATATAAATATATGTATAATAACTCACCGCCCAGCTTCCCTGTAGTAGACAGTGTAGTGAGATATGATGCCATTGGGATGTACGGGAGGCAGCCAGCTCACGAGCACCGAGTCGCTTGAATATGGCAAGGCTTTGATTTTCTCAGGAGCTGATGGTACTGTAGCAAACGTTAAATTTTAGTTTAGAATATTGTATAGCACAATCTGTTACTAAATTAAAAGAAAATATAGACGACTTAACATAATATATAAGTTCCGTTTCAACCGATCTAGTAAATGGTTTCACTTTGTTTCCATATGAAATGCTGCTCTGGCGTTTTTGTTGACTTGTGTACCTTTATTATGTAGCTAATTGTAAAATAAGCTTAGGACAATTATTATCAAATACTATAAATATGCAGAAAAATAATTTTAAAGTTAGTGGATGCAACCACTATTTACAAAAAAACGAATAAACTCTGGTTGGCCCGTACTTATTAGACATACATTTATACAAATTAAAGGCACAGATGTCAAAAAAATGCTGATCAAAGTTTATATCATTATTTCATTAGTACAATGAAACCTCAGGCGATAGCTAGTAAAAAATATAAAAAAAAATCAGTCCCACCATCCTCCTCGGTCATGCAGTAGACGGGCGCGCTGCGCTTGCCGTCCCCCGCGGCGGTGTACGCGGCGACCTGCACCGAGTAGTTGCTGTACTTGTGCAGCGCGTGCAGGTACGTCTCTGTTGTTGTAACACGCTTCAGTTCCGCACCTTCTGCTGTTATACGACAAATGAAGAAATAAATAATGGAAGATATACGATAAGTTGACAATACGTTTGACTCAATTTGTAGTAATATAATATAAATATGTTAAGACATTAACATACAGCATCATCTAGTTCCATGGTAAGCTACAAAACCTAGGTTATGGATACCACATATTAGACACTACACAAATATAACTTTAAATACATACATATTATAAATATAAACACCCATGACTGGAGTACAAGCACACGTGCTCATCACACAAATGAATGCCCCCAGCGGGACTCGATCCCGCGATTGCTGGCACAGCAAGTAAGGTCATTACAAAGTGGGCCAAACGTGTCGTCGAAATAAAGACGTAATTTACACCGAATACAAATTTTTGGTAGCAATACATGAATTAAAATGATGTTACTACTAATCACATTATACAATATTCTATTCCATAAGTACGACATAATATGAACTGTGCGTGAGTGTACGTATGAGTTAACGAGTATACCTACTACTACCGACAGTGTCCTCCAAGGCGTATGGTAAAAGGGTATGGTAAAACTTGGCTTGTGACAGTCAAACATATGTAGAACATTTACCATGATCAGTCGATATAGGCGCGTATATAACTTTGTATCCTTGTATGAGTCCGGCGCGCAGAGCCTGCGGCGGCGGCGCCCACGACACCTTCATACTGGACGACGATAGGGCGGCGCAGGACACGCGTGTGGGGGCGGCTTCCGGCACTGAAAAATGTATAAAAATAGTTTTATTAGTTATTTTTCAGTATTGTTCGCATCGCCAACGATTTCAACTATTCGTGTATATCTAAGTAGTCGTTTTTCTCTTTCTAGTCTGAGGGAATAGATATAGATAAGATATTATTCAACAATATATAGATATTGAAGAAGAATAATAGATTTATAATAGATAATGTAGAATTTCAAAATGTTGAGACCAAAAAAATATTATTTATTGCGTAAAGTAGTAACTCATTAGTTCTTTTTTCAAATACATACGCTTTTTGAGACTGGTATGGACTGATAAAACTGTTTTTTTTTTCAATTTTTTGATTAGTACATTTGATTGTTAAAATTTATTTCAATAAATTAAACTACCAGGGCCACCGATCTTAAAATCCGAAAAATATAAAGAAAGAATTGATAAACTTAAAAAAACAAAACCCTATCTAAATACAGATCCAAATCGATAGAACCGTTTCAGAGATACACAAAATAAATGTATATAAGATATGCGAGATTAAATTTGTATACCTCCTTCTAATGTAGTGGCAGTGACGGCGGGCGAGGGAGGTCCGGCCGCGACGCCGTTGAAGGCGCGGACGCGAACTTCATAGCGTGTGAACTTTTTTAAAGCCGACAAAGTGAGTTCTGTTGCAGACCAACCATTCACTGTTAGAGTTCTGAAATGAAAAATAATAAATGTTTGTAGGTACGAGCTAGTATAGTATTATATGATCTGTGGTACAAGTATAATTCGAGTCATATACCATAGACAACAGATTATTATTATTGCTTTTTATAATTTGACTAGCAACCTAGACATCTTTGTGCGCATGCCGTGATTTATTCCATTTTTCTCATTATTCCCTAAAGTTGAAGTCAATGACTTTATTAGAGCTATTAAAATTGTACATATTTCACATTATACAAGTTTTATGTTTAAAAATCAGATAGCGCACGCAAAAACCTCTACATTTTTTCTGACTTCATAGACAAAAAACCTGACAGCCAAGCAATATAAGCGATATAGAGTAATGGAGTCAACAAAGCTCCAACTCCTCTAAGCAACAAAAGCTTAAAGCTCTACAAATCCTTACCTAGTAGCATTGGGCAGCGGTGCAGCATCAGGGCCGAGCTCCGCGCAGGAGACGGAGTAGCCGAGAAGCTCGCCGTGCCAGGCGTCGCGCGGCGGCGGCCGCCACGCCACCAGCAGCTCGCCCGCCGCGCCCGCCGACACCGACACGCTGTTTGGGGCTTCTGATGGCGCTGGGGACGTTGGACAGTAAGTATTAGCTATTTTCATGTTGAATGAGGATTGTGCGCATCCCCCATGTCTATTCAACTTGGTGAGGGGGTAATTAGTGCCCCGCAATCCAGCCGGATGAAGCCAAGCTAAGAGACACATTGGGAGGAGGCCCAATTTTGGTGGGCGGTGTACCATGTGGGTTGCTCCTGGTACTGTGTGTGTTTTTGTGTATATGTGCTTGTTTCTCCGTTACACTAAAATGGTTGGGCAGGTTCGGATGATACACATGTAGATATAACCTGGAGTACGACATAGGTTACTGTTACCTAAAGTACCTTTTTATGTTAGGAAATGCATTTACGCAAACCACCTGTAGCTATATAGGTTATGTGGGACTCACCAGCTAGAAAAGCCAGTACTACCCAGTAAAACTCAACGTAATCTCCCAGGCTAGGACGACTTATGTCATAGAATTATTCTTAAGTGGAGAACTGATCAGCATACCTTATGTAGCTGGTTTTAATAGACCAATAAATGTAAAAAATGTAGATCTACATATAATAAAAATAATCTTACCCTCTTCTTGAGTTTTCACAACTACAGGCTCGGTAAAATCACTAGAATCTATTTGGTTGATCGCCGCCAGGCGGATCATGTACGCCGTGTGTGGACGCAAATTATTTAGTAACGCCTCGTAGTGGATGTCACCTTTCTTTGTTAGCCTGGAAGAAACCATTAAGAAAAGGAAATTGTTAAAATAAAGTAAATGAAGTTAAAATACAACGTTTACATTTAGCAATATTCAATTAATTGTTAAATAGTATATTTTAAAATATTTGATTAATTAAAATGTCCTATTACTCTATACTTAACACTAGTTGAAGATAATTTATTTATTGGAGTTAAAATAATGCCCCAAAAATTAATTTTATGCTGAAAGAATAATATTACAATATCGTTATAATATTACATAATGTTATTTTGATAGCACTTTAGTTTTGGTCTCAGCAATATTGTACATTCCCTGCTTATAACTTTGGAAAAATTAAAAAAAAAACTTTTCCACAGGTGAAACAACAAATAGAAAAGCTATGAAACTAGTGGTATAATAGTTGCTGATTTTCGGACTACAATTTATATGCAAAAAAATGTATGAGTGTATGTTAAAAATTGTATGAGTGTCTGTTTGTTACTCTTGAACGCTGAAACAGCTCACGGATTTGGATTAAATGTAGTACACCAATATACAATGTACCTGTAATGCTACTAAAGTATTAAGTACCCAAGGATGCATCCGAGAGAAGCGAGAGTAAGTCATTAGACAAAATTAAACTTACGTAACATGCGAATGCGAATGAGATCCATGCAGCGAAACATTTAGCGTCTCCGCCGCGTCCCAGCGCGTGACGCGCAGCGCGCCCTGCGCCGACAGCGCGGTGTGCTGCAGCGTGTAGCCGAGCAGCGGGCTGTTCCCGTCGAAGCGCACGCTCCAGGACAGCCGCACTGCTCGCGACTGGATCTCCGTGACGGATAACGATTGGGGTGTTTCCGGTTTTTCTGTAAATATAACCTACTTTTATTCCTGCTTAAAAAGTTTTTGTGGGATACTAGTTTATTGGAAAATTTACTGCAAACGCTAGAACTTACTATATAGATTAAATAATTTTTTTTGATAAGATATATATGCCTACATTAAAATCACTTAAAAATTAATTATTGTATTTTTAGCATAGGATTTATTTCTTTGGACTACCCAAATCAATTAGTCATTTAGAGTAGGTACCAAGAAGATATAGTTAAATGGATAGAAATATGTAGGTACTAGCAGAACCCGCGGCTTCTCTCGCGCTAAAACTACAAAAAAAATCCCTTAAAAGGTAGTTTCATACAAACTTTCATTCCCTATTTTACCCCCTTATAGGATGAATTTTGAGAAATCCTAAGACACGTATTTATTTAATTTCGTTGAAGAGCATATACGAGTATTCCAACTTTCAAGTAATTCTGATAAAAAAATTTTTACGAATTGTATTATGACGTGTTTTCCCGTGAGAATTAAGTAATCTCCCGCGAATGAAAGTAACCTACGTCAGTCTGCAGCCTTTCAACTATCTCCACACAAGTAATAACGCCAATCTATCCCTCCGTTTCGACGTGAAAGAAGGACTTATACACAACACACTTTCACATTTATAATATTAGTATGGATATAGTCGGATAAAAATCAAAATGGTAACAAAAATGCCAAAACACCAAGACTCTATTTCTCTCATTTATTACCTTGGACGGATAAATATATATAATGGTCGCTGTGTCCGTATGCGTTGACAGCTTGACACTTGTACACGCCGGAGTCGCGGCGTTCGCTGCGACTGATGTACAGCTGCGAGCGCAGCCCGCTGTCAGTCTTTGCTTCGGAAATACTTAACCTGACAACAGACAGATATATTTACTTCTCACATACTATATATAGATTATGTATAGTCACTTCTCACATTTATACGTATGTAAATATAAACATTAAATAAGACCTAATGTCATAGCAACTTTAGGGTCCATTTACACGAAGAGTTTTTAAAACGCTGTCGACGTTCGTTTGACGCGCTATGAACGTTATTGAAAAAATGCGAATGCAAGCAATCTGATATATATACTTTTAAATTTTTCAATGCAAATTTTGTGCAAAAGACGTAAGTTTATGATAATATGAGAGTTGTCGGTGTGTTTATAAAACGTGACATGTATAGGATCTTAGGCCCGTTACAACTAACTAAATCTATAAAAAATAAAATTTCAAATAAAATATATAAAAGATATGACAAACTAACCTATAGGTAGAAAGATCAAGCGGAGCCCCATCCCTGGACCACGTCAATCTCAGCGGTGCGTCTCCCCGCGCCTCGCACGCCAGTGTCGCGCCCGCGTCGCGACGAGCTGACACGTTATGAGATGTCACTTCGAAACGTGCTGGCTCTGTAATAAAAATATTCCTATACTAGCTTTTGTCCCATCTCTGTTTGCGTAACATTGCTTTTTCAGGCGTAACGTATGTAAGGTAGCTATTTCTAGAATATTATTATAAATGTGACAATTTTTGTGTGTGTACTCCTTGAGAGTTTTAGCGTGAAGAGGCTCTTTCACGCTAAAATGGCTGGATGGACTTAAAAAAAATTAGCTTACAGATAGATTATGACCTTGTAACACATAGGGTAGAGTTAAGAACCTAGGGCTGCATCCGAGCGATGTGATGGCAAGTCACTCTTAACACATAAGTCGATTGTCAGTATTAACACATAATTACTCGATTAATAAGTCTTGAGGTGATGGAGGATATCTAATATGATAGGTAACCTTCCTCAATAAATAGATAACATAATGGAAAAGAATTTTTCGCGAACACACAAATTACAAAAATCAATCAATACTCTTTAGTTTATATTATTATTAGTAGATAAAAACTTATGGACATGAACGACACTTAAACTAAAAGTTACACATTATATTATTAAAATTTACCCTTGAGTCCATACTGAGCCTTGGTTAGTATTTAATTAAAAAAATGACAATATAAAATGTAATTAATTCAATACACAATAATATTAAAGCAATAAAAATAAATAACTCACCATTAATAGCTACAAAAATAGTCTTAGAAAGAGGAGTTCCGACACCATTTTCAGCTTTACACATGTAGTAGCCTTCGTCGTAGGGCAAGGCGGCTTCGATTGACAGTGTGCCATTTGGTACAAATTGAAATCTGCCTCCTAAATTTACCAAAGGGACGAAATCTGATGCTGAGCCAGCTGAAAACAATAACAGACTTAATTTCATAATACTACTAGATTTACGATATTATTTCTTAGTTTCATTAATTCCGTTTAATTACAATATTTAAAAATTTACAATATTTGACATTAAAAAAGTATATCGTTTCAGTTTTTTTTTGGATGATTTACAGCGAGCATGGTCATAGGAGAAATAAGGTTTTAAACGTCTGAAAAGTCATTATTATAGTTTAGTAAGATGGAAAAACAGTTTTATTTAAAAAGCTTACAAAATTAGTACTTAGTCAAGAAAAAATACCCTCAAAATAGAAACCGTAAATATATTAAAATAAATGTATATTTGCTATAGATAGACTAACCACGTTGTTTTAGCCACGTGGTATGCGGCGAGGGCGAGCCCGTGGTGTGGCAGTGTAGCGCTACGGGCTCGCCAGCAAGTACTGCCACGTCTGTAGGCTCCCTTATCCATTTTGGCGAAACTGCAGCATGTAAGAGTTCACTTGTATTAACATTCGTAAATTGGATTCTTTATTTGGAAAGTTAAATATTTTAATTTTTGTTATTAAGTTTAAATAATTATGAAAGCTATATTATATAACTTTAGTAACTATTAACTATTGGTATTTATATTGTAAATCTAGAGGGAGATACGGTGCTCGTAATACAGGTTTTCTTAGTACGAGCTATATTTTTGTAACCTGATCTTTTGCCAGAAAATAACGATTAATTACTATAGCTTATTGAATTTACTGTGTTGTTCACAATCTTATATAATATATAATAATAAATAAATAGTATAAAAAACTAAAATTATTTAATTAAAATATAATTTAATCTATTGAAACGTTAATCGGCTCATTGGTCTAAAACACTCTATAGATAAAATAATTAATTGGTATCGTAATTCTTAGTATTTGATAGAAATAATTTTGCTATTAAATAAGATTTTTATTGCGTGCTTTTATACACTTTCACATGTGCTAATCTATTGTCGACAATACAATAAATTGTGCGTAATATACAAAAAAAGTACACGAAAGTTGATAAACCACCTACATACTTACATGATCCAGCTGCATTGATCTAAAATTCAAATTATATAAATAACATCGAGAATATTTATTTTCTAATATGACATTCATTAGTTTCTAGATTTTTCTATTCTATACTTTAGTCATTTTATTGGGCTACCTAGGTCAGTTATCATTGACAATACATAATTATTTTTTATTAATTGTTTCAGTTAAGCCGTTAATAAAATTTATAAGAAAATTACCCTTTCCTGTTAGCCATCTGTAATCCAACGACGCAAAACAAAAAACGGAGAACAGTTGAAATGAAGCAGATCAAAAGTTAACATAAAGTTAGTTCAAAAGTCATTATAAAATTAATTATATTTGAGTCAACATTTAATATTATAATACAATTCTGGTCGAGTGCCTATAATACGTGGTGTCCCAAGACAGTGCGAAGCGTGCGTTATGACGTGGTGGGTGCAAGTGCACGAGTGCTCGGTGCAAGCGTACTAGTGGCCTGTTACCTTTGACCACGAGTTCTGCTGTATAGTTAACTCTGGCGGCGTTGTTTGATGCGACACAGGTGTACGAGCCGCTGTGGCGGGCTGATACCTCCTTGAATACGAGATTGCTGAAAAAATCTGCCCCTCGCTCTTCCACCTACCGATTAGCGTCGTTTTCAGTCTCGTCATCAAAGTTTACTCTTTCAAACATATTCCATGTTTGCGTTATTTATTTAATGCTATTTTAATATTGGATGTCAGATACTTTTGTTTGGAACAAAGAAGGTGTAAAACTTATCGTAAGTGTCTCTTCTAACTTTATCTTATTGAATGTGACTTATATGTTTCTTAAATGTGACGTGTATCATCCAACATAAGTATTTCCAACTAAAGTTTACCTTCCAATATTATATCTTTGTATCTTTATTTAAGTTAAAAAAATGTCATAAATCTTAACCGAACAGGTAATAACCATATGGATTTTATATTTTATTTTAGTAGCAATTAACCCTTACCTGCAGATCGGCCGGTATGGGCGCGCCATCTTTAAGCCAAGCGAAACGCACTGGCATATCTCCTGATGCCACGCTGCAACTCACTTGTGCTCGTTTGCCTTCTTGAAGGTTAGCGGAGAATGAGAATGGCTCAATTTCTGGTGGATCTGAGTAAAGAATTTATATTATTTTATTAGAAGTCAAGTGAAGAAACCAATATGTGTGTGTTGTATATTAATAGTTAAAACATATTCCTTAAAACAAAATGAGTGATTTCTTTAAATGCTTAAAACAATATTTTAATTTGTCACAAATCATACTTACTGCTGACTATGAGTTGCAGCTCCCTGCGCGCTATCTCCCCATGAGGACCAACAGCGCTGCAAGTGTATGCGCCTGCGCTGCCCGCCTCCACTCTTGCCAAGCGCAATGCTCCACTAACCCCCACGCCAGTACTTGTGCCAGTGCCTGTACCTGTGCTTCCTGATGCACCTTCCCATTCCAGCTGGTTGCCGTCCCGTTCCCAACGGACAGAGCTAGTATGTTTGAAAATTTATTAAGATTTCCATATATTACCACAATATAATATTATTGTGTACGAATTATTATAATGGTGACAAATATACGTATTTGAAGCCGATCTGGCATCATATATTGTTAGATCGCGTGTTAACAAAACTAGTAGTAATAGTTCTGTTATTCCATCGATATCACAATAATTATCTTGCTATTTAAATAAGCCATCCACAAATGATCATAATTATATTTTTGCTTTCGTTCTCAGAAATAGAATTATAAAATCAGATGTCATTCCCGAACTCCACTTAGCCATGGTAATACATTTATGTTCGTGACTGTACTGAAAGTAGGTACAAGTAAATAGGATTTCTGATGATTTTTTTTCGTATCTATTATTTTAATTAATTCAAACTCTAAGTGTACTTAAGCGACTTCTAAATTCAAAGCAAAATCGTATCAAAAACACTTCACAGGAGTTCTTTAGCATCCATTAGACGGTTTTAATTTTATGTCCTTTCAATTATTTTTTTGCTATTTAAATTTTTTAAAACGATCATTTCTTAGAACCAACTCGAATAATAATTGGAATTAATGTAAAATATAATATGTTAATTCTAAAAAACGTATTAAAAACGTCAAAAAAGCAGTCAAATGCGAGTAAACTCATACTCTGATATTTATATATTTGAAACTTAGTAATGAAAAAAAAAATGTAATTAAATGACATAATTAGAAAATGAAAAAAATCGGTTTGATTTGCTGGTAAGTACTGTGCCTTGCCTCATGTCTTTTTTTTTCATTCTAAGTCAACGGGAACTGTTTTGTTGGTATGGATGAGTGTGTTTACGAGTTTCCATATGTAATGCAAATAGCCGTATCTTCTCATAAAAATGACTTAGTAGTTTAAAATTTTTGACGCCGTTTAGAGATCATACTGTTTAGGATAAACGTATAATACAACTTAACTTACTGAGTTCGCTCTAGTACCCTATTCAGTAAAAAAAAGTTTTTAATATTCGGACAGACAGACGGACATATAAAGTGATCCATTCAATTTTTTTATCGATTACGATATAATATACTCGTAAAATAGGAAAATCTCATTTAACCCATAAATTGTAAAATCAAACAGCACTTCAACCATAAATCTGAGACGAGGATATCATAATATTTTTTATCTAAGCATAATTCCGAGTTATCCGAATGTATTGGAACGACCCGAATCTTAGCGATAAGGCGTAATACCCATAATTACTCTGGTGAGTTTGGGCGATATCAAATAAATTTTGTTCTTGTAAAATCTTTTATCGTTTATTGGAACAGCGTCAGAATGTCTGGAGACAGCGACTACTGTCGACTGACGAATAATGTAATAAAGCAGTCGAGTTTGCGACTTTGTTTATTACTTGAAGGTTATCTCTAAAATGAACATCTTATGGCTAAAGTTGTTTACAAGAACCATTTTAGTTTTTACGATTATATTATGATATTAGTTTTTGTATTTTTTTTTCTACTTTTTTATGGAGAGTTTTATGCTTATGAGACCATTAATGGCCTATTAAATATATTCAATGCATTATATATTATATGCTTTAATACTAATAGGTGTGCTCTAGTTTTGAGAGACAGGTTCTTTTAATACTATGTCAGAAAAATACTATTTCCTATGTAAAATTTATCCCTTTTTATTGTTTGGGATTTAATTTTAAAATAATTGTATTTACTGGATAAATAAATATGTCATTATACGAATAGGCTGGAATTTTTTTAGTTCTGCTTGTTCCGTGGATGAATGAATCTTGTTAAGTTCTTTTATGTATATAGATTAATATTTGCACTGCCTCAGACTACAGTTATTAGTGCGGAAGTTTATATGTGTATGTCTGTATATATCTATATCTTCTTCATGATGAAATGGCTAAATCGTTTTGGGTAAATTTTTGTACTAAGATAGACTATGAATCTGGAACATATAAGCTACTTTTATGTACCAGGATCGTATCCCAGGGAAGCGAGACTAAATCGCTATTTGTTTTAAATTAATTAGCAACGATAAGTTTATAAATAGATCGCGTTTCTATTTCATTAATTCATCCAGCTTTCACAATATTATTGTACATTTAACTTCCATTTAACAACGTCAGAACCAAAAGCATGTCGCTTTACCGCTGCAGACGGAGCTTCTTTTATTTGATAGCAGCCGTACTTCTATTAATGGCTTTGAGATATCTTTACAAAACACATTTTCCAGATACACTAAATAAATATATGTTGGGACACTAACACACAACACCATCTAGTTCCATGGTAAGCTACGAGGCTTGTGTTATAGATACCAGATAGTTGATACACTACACATATATAACTTTAAATACATACATATTATAAATATAAACATCCATGACTGGAGTACAAACATTCGTGCTCATCACGCAAATGAATGCCCCCAGCGGAAATCGAACCCGCGACCGCTGGCGCAACAAGTAGGATCACTACAAACGGAGCCAAACGTGTCGTCTACTACTACACACTATTAAATTTAATTTGTAAAAACATATTATTAGCTATATTTAATGAATTATAAACATGGTACGTCATGTTTTATTTGCCAGTCTTTGAAGTGAAAGCTTTATATGAACTTCAGTTTATTTATTCCTCTTACCTTCACATTTATGATATTATTAATTAATTAATGCCATTTCAAACGAAGTTAATATGAAAATATCGCAATACCTTATATTCTTAATATTGGTATTTTCATTACCATTAATACGTAAATTTGTTTAATTTTGTTTGTTTGTTTTCAATACGTATTGTATTATGACATTTATCTATAATAATATATTTTTTTTAATTTATGTACTTTTAATACATGAATATTTAAATGCTATGTACACTTATAACTGACATACATATAAGGTATATTATTATTACATTAATTAAATTGAATATGTGTTGTAAGTGTGCTTTTTACAAATAAAAAAAAAATACGTAAATTATTTTACCTGATAGGATATCCGGAATAGGGGCAATAGATTATCAATTCTCTCCCAGCCACAGCTCTAATTGGCCCGATCGATCGTACGTACGGCGGTCCTGCAGAAAATAACAATGTTAAAGATTTATTAATTTAATATTTTATGTAGTTTTAAACTGTCTCGGTGGTGTAGTGGTTAGCATGTGCGGCTGCACACCCGGAGGTCCTGGGTTCGAGTCCCGGGTCGGGCCAAGTTTAGTTATTGAGTCTTTCTGTATAGTAAGTCTCAGTAACAGCCCGGAGTTGGGAAGTTGGCGGTGTTTCACCCCCGTGCCTCGGAGAGCACGTAAAGCCGTCGGTCCTGCGCCTTAACTCTCACTGGTCGTGTCGAGTGGTCGTCCCACCGGAGTATGAGAGTGATAGGAATAGAGAGTGCACGTTGTGTCTGCGCGTACACTTGTGCACTATAATATCTCCTGCGCAGTTGGCTAATCTCAATGAGATTGGCCGCCGTGGCCGAAATCGGCTAGGAGAGAACAACATTCGAACATTTTATGTAAAAGATTACATAAACTTTCACGTTTATAATATTAGTATAGATTTACTCGTGAACTAGACATACCAAGGAACCAGTGAAGCTAAGCGTGGTATTAATATAAATTAATTTTCAATACATTGAAATGACAAATACATGTTTATGTTCGCATAAATTCGGAGCTTTTTCGCAATTCAAAGGACGAACCTCAAAGCTTTTATACTGTTCAATTAGAGTTTGTGTAATAAAGGTAAGGTCAAATGACGACCATTTAATTAGCGATTGTGTATTATGTGTAATATATTATTAGCCTTTAACACAAAATACAATGTTTGATTATATTTTAAAATTATAAAGCTAGCCCAGCCCTGTGTTATATTATTTCTTCCAACTTTAATACTATATATGTATTTATATGTGCCATTGGAAAAGACCAGAGTCCGCAATCTGGCGTACAGGAGATATTAACCTCACGCCATATTGTACAGTCATGGTGCCTACGCTATCATAATTTTCATATACCTAATAAAGCCCTGTAACTTTCTTACCCGACTACAAAGCTTAACAATAGCGTTATGTGTTTATCAGTCTATGTATGTACATATATACATATGTATGTATGTCTGTATTTACGTATGTTACGCATATTCTCGAAACTACGCTTCTGATTTTAATGCATGGGGTGTCGGGTTTTGATTATTTTTCTTCAATTATAGTTATTTTTTGATATTAAAGAATTAGTAATTAGTACTAATGCTTTAATATCAAAAAATCTGCTACTTACCGTATATGTTAAGTCGGGACGTGTGCTCGATGACTCCTAGAGAGTTGGCCGCCCTACAGGTGTAGAGACCGCCGTCCTCAGACCGGACCGCACTTATATTTAAGTAGCTTACAACTTCATTATTCTTAGTGGCAAATTGTTCTATGCTGTATCTGAAAATAAATTCTTTGATAACTTGCGATTATTATTAGTTTATTATTTATATAAAGGCAAAGAAAATATATTATGGTATATCTTTCTCCTCTATTTAACAACAGATTTTTTTATTAGTAGAAAAGAAAAAAAGTTATGGTCGAAATTGACCTATAGACGAGCCCTAGTTAATCTATAGATACATCTATACTATAATAAAAAAGTAGAGGTCGAATGTCTGTACATAGCAAAAAAATGCTAAAAACCGAGTCAGGGGTGTGTGAGAAGACAAATAGAACAAATCCAGATTTTTTTTTTAATTTTATGTTTCTCTGTCTGTTTGTCTGTTTGTACGGGCTAATCTCCGAACCTATTAGACCGATTTAAATGAAATTTTGCATGGTGGTACCTTATATCCCCGGGCAACATCTTAGATACTTTTTATCCCGGAAAATTAAATAGTTCCCGTGGGATAGTTAAAAAACTATAATAACTTATACAACTTATGCACCTAATTTAGTAAAATTTAACATTCTGATACGTTATAATGACGGTCAACACGTTACTCTTCATCCGGGAAAAATGAACGGTTCCCGTGGGAATTAATAGATCTCTATTAGTGTTTTTCTAGAGGCGAACCCGAGCGAAGCGAGGGTGAGCCGCTACTAATATAATAAAATTCTAACTGAGTCGAATCTGTTCATTAAATCTTATTAAAATACTCATTATTATGGATACAGAGGCCGAATCTATATTTTTTAGAATTTTTGTTTGTCTGTCTGCCCCCGAGCGGAGCGAGGGCGAGTCGCCTCACACACTGCGGGAAGATTAACGTTTTTAAAATTAGGGAGTTTATTATTTTGCTACGAAAAATAAGTAAATTAAATTTAAAATTGAATTTCATTCTTATATAAAACAAACGTCTCAGCCATGTCCAAAGCACCCGCGGCATTTACAGTGTTCTCGACACGTTCTCAAAATGTAACTCAAACTTTAGGATTGAATAATTTCAAACTTTTCTCAGTATAAACTATAAATATAAAGAGATAGAATCTTGATATGGTAATATTTAGTAATGTTGTTAGTAGGTCTTTTCATATTTATAATGCAGTACAAGAAGTACTGTTAATGGCTTATTGACATAACTTGGTGATTCAACGACGTCCAATTAAAACTACTGGACTTAAGGTGCAAAAATTTCGATAGTTTAATGCTTTAATGATGAAGAATGAGAAAATTGATGGAAAAAATTAAAATTAATAAACATATTTAAGCCATTATGAGATTGTAAAAATTGTGGAAAAGACAAAATAATATTATTCGGGTATTTAGTATATTCATCTCTTGAATCTGATAATGCCTACATTGCAGTAAGCAGATTCCAAACTGGCAAATCATAGAACTAACTTTGACCGATAAAGTCACTATTTAGCATATCTACGAGTATAATATTTCTAAAATTGATCTGTGAATATTTTGATATACAACAAGATAATAAGGTAACTTTTAAGTCAGTACCCTGCACTATATATTAAAGAGGAAAAATAAACTACTATAATAAAAGAAATAATCTCTGAAACTATTGAACCGCTTCGAAAAATTTAATCAAAATAACAGCTTTTTATTAAATGCATATGAAATTTTGTACGTTTTTTTATTTTCTATTTGTCTGTCTGTTTGTTCCGGCTAATCTCCGAAACGGCTCGACTAATTTTGACGGGACTTTCATTGGCAGATAGCTGACAACTTAGGCTACTATTATTTTAGAAATAGAATTAAGGTTCCGCTCAAAAAAGTTAAAATATAACTAAGGACGAATCCGAGCAACGCCAGGGTAAGTTGCTAGAATAATACTATAATAATATTTGCAATAGAATTCAATTATCTCAAAGAGTCAATTTTTCTCTCACCTATGCCTGGCCATAGTATTAACAGGCTGCCCATCGAGCAGCCACGTGAAGTGAGGGGGTGGAGAGCCGACTGACGAGCACTTGAGCGTGACTACTTGTCCCGGACGAAGTACTTGCTCGATAAACGTATATTGGAGCTCTGGTGCTGTATCTAAAAGAACCATTAAAAAATGAATTATAAACTATTAGTGCTATTTCCAGTTATTTTCTTATCATCAGAAAATACTGAACAAGTAACATGAAAGCAATACGTGTACATGTACATACTTGAGTGATTACAACGAAATGGAGCAATTTAAATTATATATTTACCTAAGTGCTACTTGACATACGTAATTGAATCTGAACTTTCAATCGATTTCTTTTAGCTATTTGGAGTATGTTTACCGAACCCTTATTATAAATTCAAATCTGGTCGAGATAAATATTTATATTGGTTATGTAATTATATTGTGTAGCATTATTTATACTTGATAAGTATGTATACAAAAAAGTAAAATCGTCACTGACCTCCTAGTCTAATTTCTGCGCTAGCTTGAGCAGAATCCCGCTCGTTCCTTGCAATACATTGGTACACTCCCTTATCTGAGCGGTGTACAGATGTTATAACTAGTTGTTCCCCGTTACTTTGCACGCGATGTCTGCCACCAGTCACCCCTGACACTGGTATACCATTGTGAAGCCACTCAAGTCTAGGGGAAGGCCAACCAGCCCAGGTACAGTTTATAATAGCTGTACCACCGCTGTTTACTATCTGTGAAAGAATTTTACAGTTTTACTTAAATTTGCAGTTTTATCAATTAAGATTAGACTTAGTAGCGCACTTTAAGAAATGCCCAAATATGGACGATTGGTTCACATAATATAAATCCGCGACAAAATCCGAAAAGATAGTTTTATTTAAAATGGACGATTGGCTTATAGTAGGGGAGCCCAAGAGGGGATTTTCTGTAGTTACTCGAGCGCGGCAGATTAACATAAAAGAGGTTACCTTGCACTCTATTGAGTACTTTCACCATAATATAAGTCTTCTATATAAAGGGGCGCGTCTAGGGATTGACTATAAAGTTTATGATGATTTTTGCCTCTTCGGCTTGTGCAAATCGGCAGATTATTGAATTGGACACTTTTCAGGATGTGACTAGCCTACCACACCTTAATCTGACGGTTTCAAGTATTTTTACCTTATCAAAACATTTTTTAAATATTTTAATCGGCTTCCCTAGACGCGCCCCTTTATATAGAAGACTTATATTGTGGTGAAAGTACTCAATAGAGTGCATGGTAACCTCTTTTATGTTAATCTGCCGCGCTCGAGTAACTACAGAAAATCCCCTCTTGGGCTCCCCTACTATTAAGATGGGCGGATGACAAGTATGATTAGATGAAATTACTATTTAGGAATGTATTGGGGTGCTCTTTAAGGTAATAAATGTCATCATTGTTATTCACATCGATGGTTTTTAATCCGTGCACATTGATCTATCAAAAAACTTCTAGTTTTGTTTTATAATATACTCGTAATATCAATTAGCACGAATAAAATCGTTTTGTGATAGCGTGGTAATTAGCAGTAATATTTATGTTCTGTCTTAGAGATTTTAGACACAGACAGAGATCTATCTAGACAGGTAGATGTTGTTTCCTAAGAACTAAATCGATCTTGGATTTATGTTTACTGTTAAATTACAATTTAATTATAAGGATTATCACTAAATTCAATTAATCCCTCTACGAGCGCGGACACGCCGGCGTGTCAGTTAACAATAGATTTCTTAGAAATTGAATTAATTTCTTAGAAATTTACCTAGAGGTGTTAAATATAAAGGCTTATATATCAATGCTAGCAACTCACCCTCGCTTCGCTCGGGTTCATCACTAGGTTGCTTCCTCATATAAACTTTCACCCCTATTTTCACCCCCATAAGGGATGATTCTTGGGATAAAAACTATCCTGTCTTTCCCAGAGCCTTAACCTATCGTTTTACTAAATTTCATCTAAATCGGTTCAGTAGTTTCTGAGCCTATTCGATACAAACAAACAAAAATCAAATTTTTCTTCTTTATAATATTAGATAGATGACAGCAAAAATGGTGCTTAAAAATATCTTGATGAAATCATAAAAAGGATTACTTAAGTATATTTTAGATACTTTTCATATGTTATAGACCTGTCCAAACATTATTTTGAAAGCACGTTTTTTTCGTATTCAGGTCCGAATAGAGAGAACAAAGCGAATGGCACTGTGCCTAAATAAACAAGCTAATTGTGAGCCTGGACACAGGTTACAGGGTTAGCCAAATAATTTAACGTGTCAGGTGACGTTTCGAACTTTTTTCTCTATTACACTGTTGTTCTATTTTTTTAATTATTTCATTGAATAAACTTGTGAATAAAAAAGCTAGAATTTTTGCATTAAATTTTGTTTATACAGCTTTCGTTAAGGTTATAAAAGGATTATAGTTTTCATTTCTACAGTAGTTGGGATTTTGGTGAATCTCAAAAGTTTAAGAACAATCAAGCCAAAATTATGATCTAATCGATGTATGAAGGTTGTATGGTGTAGTATAGCATGGAAAATTATAACTACTACTACTACTACTAAAAGTAATAGCCCTTAGCCTTAGATTGAATATTTGCTTTAGGCATGCGTTAAGTTTTCCTTTTTAGTCCTACAACAAGGTTATTATAGATTTCTCGTAGGCCTAGACTCGTAGGAGACTTGGAGTGTTGATTCCGTCCAAAACTTATTTGTAGTTTTAAGATACGACCCTTATGACAGGTAAGGGTTCCCTAGTCCCTGCTGAAGAATAAACTACTCTATTCCTATGTCCTAGAAAGTTTAATTGATCCATGCACTCCTCTACTTGCTTAGATGAGACTATTTTTGAGTCTAGCGTTAGTAGTGCTTGACTGTTCGAATTAATACAGATAGTTGGTGTAGCGCATAGGCAGATTTGCTTTTGCACATTCTAAAATGGTGACTTGGCCAGCGTGGTGGACTATGGTCTGATTCCCCTCGTACTGAGGGGAGGCCCGTGCCCAGCGGTGAGACGTTAAAAAGGGCTGAATACATACATATACTGTCTTAATATACTCTAAGCTCGACTTCTTAATATTCTCACATCAAAATATTTACTATATGCACGCATCAAACTAGAAACATGCTTAATATTCTGGCACGCCATTTTGTGAGTTGGTCAACAATTTCAGGCGTCAACCAAAATTCTGATATGGCATATACATATTATTGTAGGCGCTGGAACCGTTACGTGCTTCGCATTAAACCGTGATATTTGCATTAATATACCATTATCGCCTATAATGGTTATACATTTCACCGATAATAAGTATCTCATACTATATAATTTGACTACCAAAATGGACTTTACAAGCTCTGGTACATTTATCTTCATTGAAATGACTGGCTACCATTTGCAATGTACGCGTCTTCTGACCTAGCTTTGAGTAAAAGTGCAGTAACTCGTTTCGAGACCTTAGTTCTTGTTGTGTGTGAAAAATTAAAATTCAATTATACATATTTTAATTAGTGCCTTACCCCTGCTTCGCTTGGATGCGCCATTAGCTGTCTATAAGTAATCTATGTATACTTCAGGTATATAGTAGTATCAGGTATATATATTATATATTGAGTCTATCTATGTAATCCATGTAATAACTGACTCGCTGACTAGTGGCTAGGATGTATGGCAGCTGATCCGGAGGTCCTGGGTTCGAGTCCCGGGTCGGGACTAGTTTAGTAACTCAGCTTTCTGCCAAGAAATTCTCAGTAACAGCTCAGCCTTGGGAAGTTGGCGGTGTCTCACTCACCCCAGTGCCTCGGAGAGCACGTTGAGCCGTCGGTCCTGTGCTTTAACTCTCACCGATCGTGTCGAAGTATGGTCCCATCACACTGAGAGTAAAAGAAATAGAGAGTGCACTTGTGTCAGCACTATAATATCTCTTGCGCATCTGGCTATTCTCACTGAGACAGGCCGCCGTGACCAAAATCGGTCAGAAGGCATTATGTAACCAATTTCATTCAAATCTGAGCAGCTGATTTGGTGTGAAGGAGTAATAAACATACACATTTCATGTAGTATCGAAAAGCAGAACTTCTTTTAATTCTTTTTGCCGTCAGTAATAAGAAAGAATAAAACCTTATTCTATATTATTTGAGAAAATTACAATTACAATAAAAAAATAAGAAAATTTAGTCTTGCAAAAATATTTATTCTATACATATTTTGTGTATCAAAACTTAAGCACTTTAAACACATAATACCGTGCAAATACAAATTTTCAATTTTACGCAATGTTACGCATTTGATAAATGTTATGGGCTATTATGTTATTGGTATAAATAGAGTAAGTTATCTAAACAAATTATTATAAAGCCCAACCAGTTTAATCTTGAAATTGCAGCTAATGTCCAAAATGTATTCAAGCAAGTTGATGTTAGTATTCGCAACGATCCTCGCTGTGCTGGGCAGCATCTTCGCACTGGAACATCCTCATCCAGAAAATTATCGCCGCAATTCTCCCGGATATTACAGACGTGCATATTACAAAAAAAGTTAATTACAAATGTAATACTCGTATACCAACAGCGAAAATAATCAACAGTGAAATATATTGAATGTTAGTATTTTTTTTTAATTTATTACCTGTTCTTTAAAGCTTATAGAACAACGTAAAGAGTTCCTTAAATAGCTCATTATTTCTGTGTATGTGTTTTATTAAACTAGCAATTAAAAATTCTCAGAGAGTTCCTAGTTAATCACAGTTCATCTGCCTATTATACATAGGTAAAATTCTGAGTCGAATCTGTACATTAAATATATTTTGGAAAATCTTATTGAAATAGTCATTATTATCGATACAGAGGCAGAATCTATAGTTTTTAGATTTTTCGTCTATCTGTCTGTCTGGAAAAGCATCACGAGAAAACCACGGGACAGGTTTTGATGAAATTTGTGTGATGCTAGCTGGTTATTTGGGTCAACATGACGACACATTTGCCTCAGTTTGTAGTGACACCCTACGTGCTGTGCCAGCGGTCGTGTTAATATCCCAACATATTTCGCATAATGAGTATTTATTTTTTTACTGCGAGAAAATATCTCATCTCCGAAAAATCTATAATAACCTTTAAAACTTACCTAGGGACGAACCCGAGCGGAGCGAGGGTGAGTTGCTAGATAAACATATATCTTGATCTTCACATATAAAAATTATAAGTCCCAACTGACGAGATGATTCATGAATGCCCAGATAAAGTTATTGAACATGTGTATCGTCACACAAATATTATACTTAAAATAATCTGTTTGTAATGAGTACAATCCCCATTCTAGGGATAATTTTTTTCTATCTTTAAACTTTAAATAATGTTTTAATAATTACTTTCTTTATTTTCGGCACCCTCTGGTCATCGGACAATGTATTTTGAACAGGGCTACTAGAATACACATTAACTAACAGTGAAGCAACTGGCACATGCTACTTAATATATAGTCTACGAGACGGCGAAATGTTATTGAAATTTTTTATTTCAAGTTTTTTTCATATCACAATTTTCCTTCGTGAGTTTTTTAAAAATTTTAATTTACTCGTATACTTAATTATGGTAACACTTACCGTTTACCAAAAAAATGTAAAAGAATGATATTTTGACCTTAAATATTTTTTTACCACATCGGTTTTATCGGTCCAAATTTTTAAATGACTTCAAAATATATATGTATATATAT